TGGTATCCACAGGGGGTCCTAAAGCCAGTCCCCTGCAGACACGGGGGGCTGCTGTCGGTGATGTGCAAATGGACAATCTTCAGCATGCTTAGGAATGACAGTCTGAGTTGGTCTCAGATACATTTGAGCAAACTACTTGAGGGTTTTTTGTTCCCCAGATTTTTAATTTATTTATTTGAGAGGCATCCAGTGAAATTTACTTGCTAAATCTGGTGATCCAGGGTAGAGCTGACCATGTCACCAGTACGATCCTATAGAAGTGGCAGTGACTTCCGAGACTAGGTCATAAAGGACCCCGTGGCTCCGGCCTTGCTCTCTCGGGTCACTGTGAAGGAAGCCAGCTGCTAAGTGGTAAAGACACTTGCCTGGCTTCTGGCGAAGTCCCCGGGGTGAAGAGCTGAGACCTGTGGGTCATCAGCACCAGCTCGCCAGCCATGGGACCATGCACCTGGTCAGCCCTGGGGATGCCTGCAGCCCCATGAGAGATCCTGAGTCAGACACGCCCAGGTCAGCCACTCTCAAACTCCTACCCGGACAAATGCAGGTTAACCCACCACTTGAGACTCCGGGATCCATACTGAAGTGCTGCTTCAAGTGCCAGCTGTTCTGCTCCCCATCCAGCCGCGTCACGTGCCTGAGAAAGCAGTGGAGGGTGACCTGAGTGCTTGGGCCCCTGCCACCCAAGGAGGAGACCCGGATGCAGTTCCAAGCTGCTAGCTTCAGCCTGGCCCTGGTGGTTGTGGCCACGTGGGGAGTGAACCAGTGGATGGGAGATCTCTTTCTCTCTGTCTCTTCCCTTTTCTCTATCACTCTGCCTTTCAAATATATGAAATAAATCTTTAAAAAAAATACATAGGTACTCATCAAATATTTGGAGATGAGCACGGGCATGAACGCTGCAGCCTGCACGTGTCCATCTTACCTGCGTGCTTCTGAGGGTGCTGGGTTAACTGGTGATGCTAGGCCTCAGTCCTAGCTTGCTATGGAAAGAGTCCGCATGAATTTTAAAAAAGATAAGTAGGGTAGAAACCATCTGGAAGGAACATTTAGAGGGAAGACAGCGTTGCTAATCTCAGCTGATCTGGACTTATCATTCCGCCAAGATCAGGATGCCATCTATATTTTTGCGACAAAATTCAAAATAAGAATAAGCCATGTGCGCCTGTATAATGTCACCCTCCTGGAAAAAGTACATGTGCTAGACTTTAAATACACCAGCTTTGAAATGTCACTTACAGATTGTTTCTATGGTACCAGCCTATTTAAAGTCGTAACCGAGTGAGGACGTGTTCTCCCAGATCTGGAGGCGATCTGGACGCTGTGTGGACTCAGGTGGTGATGAGGGGCTACCTGGGGGGTTGGGGAGTGGAAGAGATGATACCTGCACAGGACTAGGCCGTGTGCCCCTGCACACACAGGACTCACTCCCTCTATTAGCTCAAATAAGCCAACAGAAATGACTAGGACCCCAAGCGTCGTGTCGCCAAGAATGTACCAGCCTGGAAGTCTGAAGTCCTGGGTCCCAGGCCTGGCTCCGTCCTTCAACTGTCACTGAACTCTCCCCCACCGCCATGGCCTCCCCTGTTTCCGCAGCTGTGAAAGGAGGGGGGGTGGACTGACCGGTGTCACACACCCCGCCTGCCTCCTGTGGAGGAGCCCTGTTGCTTGGAAACCCCTGCTGGGATGGCCACATGTCTGAGCACCTCACTGGGAATCTCAACATGGGCCTGGATGTCCCCAGGTCCCAGAGCAAGGGTCTCTCTTGAAAGTGACAGGAGATCAGGGTGGATATGAAGCTCTGGATCTAAAACTCTTGCTGCCTTTTCTCCTTGTTTTTCCAAAGGCTGGGTAATTGAGCCCAGAAATCCTGAAAGCCCCCTGGTCCTGGAGGCGCGGAGGCATGCAGCACAGAGATAGGACACTGGGCTGTGAGATGAAAACAGTCGCAGTCATTTACTAAACCCTGAGTGTGGGCCGGCGCCGCGGCTCACTAGGCTAATCCTCTGCCTATGGCGCCGGCACACTGGGTTCTAGTCCCGGTCGGGGTGCCGGATTCTGTCCCAGTTGCCCCTCTTCCAGGCCAGCTCTCTGCTGTGGCCAGGGAGTGCAGTGGAGGATGGCCCAAGTGCTTGGGCCCTGCACCCCATGGGAGACCAGGAGGAAGCACCTGGCTCCTGGCTTCGGATCAGCGCAGCGCTGGCCGCAGCGCACCGGCCGCAGTAGCCATTGGAGAGTGAACCAACAGCAAAGGAAGACCTTTCTCTCTGTCTCTCTCTCTCATTGTCCACTCTGCCTATCCAAAAAATAAAAATAAACTCTGAGTGTTCCAGCTTTCTGTATGTCCAATAGCTCTTGGCGTTGTTGGGAAAATAAACCTTTGAGAGCCATGTCCTTGTCCCCAGTTTAGACTGGAAGACTGGAGACCCAGGAATTCAATCCAGGCACTCTGATACGGAATGTGGGCATCTCAACCACCAGGCCACATGCCTGCCTTGGAGTCTGCACTTTTTTTTTTAACTTATTTATTTGAAAATCAGAGTTACACAGAGAGGAGGAGAGACAGAGAGGATGGGATCTTCCATTCTCAGGTTCACTTCTCAGATGGCTGCAAAGGCCAGAGATGGGCCAGGCCGAAGCCAGGAGCTAGGAGCTTCTTCCGGGTCTCCCACGTGGGTGCAGGGGCCCAAGCACTTGAGCCATCCTCCACTGTTTTCCCAGGACATTAGCAGGGAGCTGGATCAGAAGTGGGGCAGCAGAGACACAAACTGATGCCCACATGGGACACTAGTATCCAGGTGGTAGCTTTACCCACTACATCACCACAGCGGCTGCAGGTCTACACCCTTGAGTCACCCCACAACAATCTACTCAACTCCCCTCTGAAGAAGCCACCTGGCCAGGTCCACTTGGTGACCCAAGTCCACAAGCGCCAACCAGTCCTGATCCAAGTCACTGCAGCCCCATAACGTGGCCACGGAGGGCCATGCTACCTTAGATTTGGTTCTGGCTCAGTTTCTCCTTGTTTCCTGGCGGAGCCCACAGTCTGGCAGATCCTCTCCTGACCTGGTCCTCTGCTACGACTCTGATTTCTCTCCTGAGCACCTGCTGTCTGACAAGCCCAGTGGTGCAGAGAACAGGAAGCCCCTGAGAACTCTGCATTGGAGTGTCTGATTCATGATGACTGCGTAAGGGTATAGCCCAGCCTTGACTCATGGCATAGTGCTCCTTCTACACTGTGACAATAGCCTCTTGGGTCTTTCCGTGTGTGTACACAGGAGGGAGAGAGACCACACGCTGACACCGACGGCGCTTCCTCAGCCCCACTGTGCGCCAGCCACACTGCATCACCAGCATGTCTCAGCTCACTCACTCCTCAACCATTTCGCAGACAGAACTCAGGTTTACAGCAGGGGTGGGGAGCAGCTGGCCCGGGGAATCATTTGCTCTGGCCCTGCCAAGGCAACCACAGGTGGGACTGGAAATTCCATAAACCACAGCCAGCGCTGTGGCGTACTGGGTAAGATGCCACCTGAAGTGCTGGCATCCCATATGGGTTCGAGTCCTGGCTCCTTCCTAGCTATTTCCAATCCAGTTCTCTGCTAATGCACCTGAGAAAGACACGCAAGATGGCCCAAGTTCTTGGGCCCCTGTACCCACATGGGAGACCCAGCCCTGGCCGTTGTGGCCATTTGGGGAGTGAATCAGCGGATGGAAAACGCCTCCCCGCTTCTCTGTAACTCTGCCTTTCAAATAAACAAAAAAATTTTTAAAAGGTTATTTGTTTCAATAAACCTACAGCAGGCTAATTTTGTTGATAATTTTGCATGGCCCTTGGCAGAAAAAAGGTTCTCATCCCTGGTTTAGAGAGATGCAACGCCTCGCCCGAGGTCCACGGCAGCGGGTAGATTACAGAGCGAAGGCTGCAGCTCCAAGACCCACGTGTGTGTCCTCAAGGTCCACGCAACGTCCCCGGCCGCTGACAGCTCCCCCGGGAGGGGCCCGGGGCACGCCTCTTTTGTTCATCGAGTCCTTTGCGAGTGCAGGCACTCGGCCCTTTTTAACCACATGAGTGAGCAAGTGAGCTGGTCTCACTGTTCCCGGGAGAACACTCCGGGACTCTGGAATCCGTGCCCGCCTGCCATGCGCTCCCCGCGGCGCGCCGGTCACGGCGCGGTCCTGACTTCACTGTTCTCAGTCGATGATCGCCACGTCCCTGGCTCCCTCCAGTCTCCTCACAGCGGTCCTCCGAGCCAGTGCCCCAGTCCCATGTCGCAGATTTAGAATCACAGACAAGGCCGGCGCCGCGGCTCACTAGGCTAATCCTCCGCCTTGCGGCGCCGGCACACCAGGTTCTAGTCCCGGTCGGGGCACCGGATTCTGTCCCGGTTGCCCCTCTTCCAGGCCAGCTCTCTGCTGTGGCCAGGGAGTGCAGTGTTGGGCCCTGCACCCCATAGGAGACCAGGAGAAGTACCTGGCTCCTGGCTTTGGATCAGCGCGGTGCCCCGGCCGCAGCACAGCGGCCATTGGAGGGTGAACCAATGGCAAAAGGAAGACCTTTCTCTCTGTCTCTCTCTCTCACTATCCAGTCTGCCTGTCAAAAAAAAAAAAAAAAAAGAATCACAGACAGCAGAGGAGGCTTGTCAGGCCAACGTGGCTCAGCGCCCGCCACACCAGTCGCCATAGGCTGGGCGTCGCGGGGCGAAGCAGGTGCGACGGGGAGGCCCACACGACCGAAAAGTCACTTTCCAATCACTCCCGGCCCTGCCAATCGGCTTCTTCATTTTTAGTTACCCAGCCTGCCCCTCTGGGGCCAAACCCGTTGTGGCCCTCCCTGCCATGGCAACCGGCGAGCCACTTCCGCTGTGGCCTACGTCATTTCCGGCGCGCCGGCCTAGCCACATCCGGGGTCCGGCCACCAGAGCGGCGTTCTACTTGCGCGGAGTGTGAAGCTGTGTTTGGTTCGCTGGACCGCTTCCGAGACGTGAGCGAGGCCGGGCCGCGGGACTGGGGACTCGGGTCGGGGAAGGCGGGCCTCGGCCAAGCCCGGGTGGGATTCCATTTCGCCCGCAGCAGTGTGGGAGCCCGGCACGGGGCGGTCCCGGTGGCGATCACTTCGGGCCGCGGGGTTGGGAACCGGAGCCGCCTCCGCGAAGCTTAGAACGCAGGAGAGAGACAAGTTGGAGTTCTGGCTTCGGGTTGTGAGCCCGGCCAGCAGGGCGCCCTCAGGGCAAGTTGCTTTTAACGTCTTCGAACCTCATTTTACTTATCTTTCTGCATGGAGGCGTCGGCGGTACCTTTAAGAAGGGTCTTAACGTTGACCCCGGCCGGCTTGAGCGCCCGGTGAGGACCCCTACTCGCCGCTGCTCTTGGGAATATCGTGCCCCGTGCCCTCGGAAGCGGCGGCATTCTGTAATCCCACGTCTCTGGGACCCCCTCTCCGAGAACACGGGGACCCTCTGCTCCCCCACCTCCCCCGGCGTGCCTGCTGTCGGAGCTGCCGGTGGAAGCAGTAAGCTTCCTGTCCCTGAAGGCTGCTTGGCGCTCCTGCTACACGCAGGCCACAGCGACCCTCACTGTGCGGCGCGACGTGCCTGGCGCTGTGCGACTGGCGGAGGTGGGATTGGAACTCGGGCTGCGGTGTTAGCAGGGCTGTCGTGATGGTGATGAACCTAACGATGGGACTTGGGGAGGAGCTGTGTGCGCGTTAAGCATCCTCCTAGGGAATCCTCCTTGCAAATCACTGCTCAGGGTCGCGACAGCTGTCGATTTCAAGTTTAGACAGCTCCACCTCCCAGAAGTGGGTTCCCTGTTCTGACCCACAGATACCTTACTGAATTATGTAATCGTAATTCCTGCAGCCTTCCGGCTCGAAGGAAGAGATCCGTGTTTTGGAAGAGCAGGCGTCTCTGAGTCTTGTCAAGTGATGTTTCAGAAAGCATACTGGGAGGGGCGAGGGAGTCCCCCTGGGACGGCCAGGGGTGGAGCGATACCTCTTTCCCAAACAGTTACATTAAAAAATATTGGCATCTGGGACCCCAGAAGAGGTCCGCCCAGTTTCTGAGGCAGTGATGCGTGGAAGGCCGGGAGGTGTGTTTGCATGTCCATGCGTGTATCCGTGTATGTGTACATGTGTGCCATGTTTATGGCATTGGTGAGGGCAGGGAGTGACCTTGAGTCGCATGGCCCTGGAACTTGTCTCCTGTTTCACCCGTGTTAGGGCCGACCGCTTTCTAACCCACACCTCCAGTTTCTGCTTCATTGACTGGTAACACTGGTCCTGACGGACTTGGAATTTGGAGGAAGCTCTGGGGGCAGCGAGAATCTTCCTGCTGCCCCCAGGACCTAGCAGACGCCGTGCCCTTTCTGTCCCTTCAGTGACGGGCCATGTCGCTGTCCCACCTGTATCGGGATGGCGAAGGCCGTGTGGATGACGACGACGATGAGCGGGAGAACTTCGAGATCACCGACTGGGATCTGCAGAACGAGTTCAACCCCAACCGGCAGCGCCACTGGCAGACCAAGGAGGAGGCCACCTACGGAGTGTGGGCGGAGCACGACTCGGACGACGAGAGGCCCAGCTTCGGAGGCAAACGGTACTGCCTGGCCCCGGGCAGCTTGCCCTCGTCTCATGGAGGGGAGGGGTGGGGAGGGGACCCAACAGGTGGCCGCCTCTCCTGGCCTTCTGGAGGGAGTCCCTAGGCTGGGACAGCAGCTTCCTCCCGAGGCCGGAGTGCTGCTCGTTCACTGTTTCACCGGCAGTCCTGCTTCCAAGCAGTTCCTGTGGTCCAGGCCTTGTGCTGTGGACCCAGCGCTTGGCTTCCTGGAGTCTAGACTCCAGTGCACGGAGACAGGCCTGGACCACTGAACTCTGGGACCGGGATTAGGGTTATGGAGGAGAGCACAGAAGCCTGGAAGGGTGCTTGACGTCTTCCGGGGGCCAGGGAGGATGTTTCTGGACAAGTGACCCTAGGCTGCGGGGTGGTGGGAGAGGTGTGAGCACGCAGAGGCCCTCGGCGGGGGCTGCAGGAGACCCACACGGATCAGGAAGGTTTGGGGGCTGGAGCAGCGAGAGGAAGGGGAGCACGGTATGAGAAGGGTTGGGGGGGTTATATTTGAGAAGCCCCCTTCACGGGTGTGTGGGCTGCAGCTACTCGACCAGTGTGTGGCTGACGGGGCTGTCTCTGCACCCCTGCTGTGGCCCGCGGTCCCAGCCCATTGCGACATGGCCTTTTCACAGAGGAGGCTTCGGGGGCGGGGGTGGGGTTCAGCTCAGCCTCCTGGCATCGCAGGGAGGTCTCAGACTGGGTGGAGATGCGTCGGGATCAAGAATTCATCCTGCTGCAGTTAGAGCCCGCATGCGCTGCCTGCTTGCTTCTGGGGACTTCACAAGCCGGGTCTTGGGAGGAGAGGAACCATTCTCACCCCATCTTACAGGTCAAGGAACTGAAGCCAGGGGTCTCGTGCCGAGGCAGAAGCTGTGCTAGCTTTGCAAGCTGGACCTCTCTGACTGGAGGTCGGGCTCCTGGGCACTCAGATACTGCGTCTTTTAGGGAAAAGGTCCCTCGGTGCACACTGCCCCGGGGATGTTGAGTGACGCGGCTGGTCGTTTTGTAGGGCTCACCCCATTTTGTAGTATTGCCTGGGGTTTTCCTTGGATTTTTCTCCCCACTCTATTCCTTTAAGTAAACAATGGAAATAAATGAGCTTCAGGCTAACGGAGGAAGGGACCAGAGGTTAGCGGCCGGCTGTGAGTGCTGGTCGGAAGTAGTCGGGGCTCACAGAGCACAGCTCATTCACAGCTGTCCCAGGTGTTCTAGCTCAGGGCTCACGGAGCACAGCTCATTCACAGCTGTCCTGGGTGTTGTAGCTCGGGGCTCACGGAGCACAGCTCATTCACAGCTGTCCTGGGTGTTGTAGCTCAGGGCTCACAGAGCACAGCTCATTCACAGCTGTCCCGGGTGTTCTAGCTCAGGGCTCACAGAGCACAGCTCATTCACAGCTGTCCCGGGTGTTCTAGCTCAGGGCTCACAGAGCACAGCTCATTCACAGCTGTCCCGGGTGTTCTAGCTCAGGGCTCACGGAGCACAGCTCATTCACAGCTGTCCCGGGTGTTCTAGCTCAGGGCTCACGGAGCACAGCTCATTCACAGCTGTTCCAGGTGTTCTAGCTCGGGGCTCACAGAGCACAGCTCATTCACAGCTGTCCCGGGTGTTCTAGCTCAGGGCTCACGGAGCACAGCTCATTCACAGCTGTCCGGGGTGTTCTAGCTCAGGGCTCACGGAGCACAGCTCATTCACAGCTGTCCCGGGTGTTCTAGCTCAGGGCTCACGGAGCACAGCTCATTCACAGCTGTCCGGGGTGTTCTAGCTCAGGGCTCACGGAGCACAGCTCATTCACAGCTGTCCTGGGTGTTGTAGCTCAGGGCTCACGGAGCACAGCTCATTCACAGCTGTCCCGGGTGTCTAGCTCGGGGCTCATGGAGCACAGCTCATTCACAGCTGTCCCGGGTGTTCTAGCTCGGGGCTCACGGAGCACAGCTCATTCACAGCTGTCCCGGGTGTTCTAGCTCAGGGCTCACGGAGCACAGCTCACTCACAGCTCTCTCCTATGCTTTCTTAGTTTTCATTCTCATATACACATAGTGGATATGAACTGCTTCTGAGCTTGATTAACATAGTTGTTAATATACTTTACATTCAGATAACCTTGGATTTCACTTATTATGACTTTATCAAAATTTCTACTCTTTTGATTTTGTCCTTAAAATTGTATTTGGAACAAATGCTTTTTGAGCTAAATTAATTTTTTAATGTAAAATGAAAATAGGATTAGTTTTTTACTTATAGAACAACCTTTAATTTTCTTTAATTTTTTTTTCTTTGCAAGGCAGAGATGCACAGAGAGAGCTGCCTTCCTCTGCTTCACTCCCCAGTGCCTGTAATGACCAGGAGTTGGGCCAGGCACAGGCCAGCTGTGAGGACCTCACTCCGGTCTCCCGTGGGGTGAAAGGATAGGAACTCTGGTCACTGTTGCCTTCTAGGAGCTGCACTAGCAGGAAGGTGGAATCTGGAGCTGGGAGTGATCAGCAAACCCAGCTCTCCGGTGTGGGATGCAGCCATCTTAACCACTGACCAGACACCCACCCTGCATATTGGGAATTTATAATAGCTCTGTATTGGCATTGTGTACTCTTTAGTGATAGATCTGAATTGAACATGTCAGTTTAAAAAGTGTTAAGTGTTAGGGCCGGCATTTATGGTACAGCGGGTTAAGCCACTGCCTGCGACACCAGCATCCCATTTGGGCGCCAGTTCAACTCCTGGCTGCTGCACTTCTAATCCAGCTCCCTGCTAATGCGCTTGGGAAAGCAGCAGCAGATGGCCTAAGTACTTGGGTCCCGGCCACCCATGTGGGAGATACAGGTGAAACTCCTGGCTTTGGCTTGGCTGTTGGGGCCATCTAGGAAGGGAACGAGCAGATAGAAGATCTCTCCTCTGTGTCTCTTTCTCTGTAACTCTGCCTTTAAACAGATAAATAAATCCTTTTAAGCAGTGTTGATATTCTGATATATGAGGAGATTGAAAATATTCATGGAAAATGAATATTATAAAAATTATGCATACATTTCAGGGTTTGTGTGTGTGTGTGTGTGTGTGTGTGTGTGAAAATAAACTTTTCCCTGAATTCCCTCTTGCCATGAACTTTCTGAGGCAGACGTTTGCTCCTCAGATGTGTTCCGTGGGGGCCACCTCCTGGCGCAGGCCGGGGTCTGGGCAGGGCGGCTGTGGAGGAGCCTTCACCCCTGGTCTCGTTGTCTGCCCACAGCCCCCGGGACTACTCTGCGCCGGTCAACTTCATCAGCGCTGGGCTCAAGAAGGGGGCAGCGGAGGAGGCGGAGCTGGACGACTCTGAGGACGAAGAGAAGCCTGGGAAGCAGGAGGAGCTTCCGAAGGATCTGGGGCCCAAGAAGCTAAAGACGGTAGAGTCTCTGACGCGGGGCTGGGCCGCGGTGGCCTCTCCTGGCAGGGGGACCTGGTCACGTGGGTTTCTGTGGCCGCAGGTGCGTGAGGCGTGGGCGTGCCGCGTCTCTGCATGCTGGCGCAGCGCAGACACCTGCCCCGGTGCCCTGTAACTGCCGGGCTGCTTTCCCGGGGCCAGGCTTCCTCGGACTTCGCCGCTTTCTCCTTCCTTTCCCTGCAGTCAAGCTCTGGCCTTTGTTCTCTGCAGGGGGGCAATTTTAAGCCCAGCCAGAAAGGCTTTGCAGGAGGAACCAAGTCGTTCATGGACTTCGGCAGCTGGGAAAGGCACACGAAAGGGATTGGGCAGAAGCTTCTTCAGAAGATGGGCTACGTGCCCGGCAGGGGCCTCGGGAAGAACGCACAAGGTACCGCGCCGCCCCAGCCCGCCCGCCGAGGCCGCGCCCTGTGGCGGGCACTGCTGTGTCTCGGCTCTCCTCGGCTCCGCCAGCACAGGGCGTGCTGCTCTCAGCGCCCTCTCCTTATCAAAACTCGCCCTAGACAGAGCACGCGTCCTAGCGGGAGGAGAAGGGGTGCAGGGTGCAGACAGCCTTCTGTGTTGGCCTGACTCGTGTTTCTGAAAAGTGAATGGGTTGCCAGCATTGAAAAATCCGCCTAGAACCTTGGATTCTGCCTGAAGTGGTTTGCTGAGTCAGCCCTGAGACGCCCCACTGCAACACAGCCTGTAGCACAGGTTTGCAGCCCACCCCACTGCAACGCGGCCTGTAGCACAGGTGCGCAGTCCACCCCACTGTGACGCAGCCCCTGTCGCACGTTCGCATTTCCTGGGTTGCACAACCACCCTAGTAAGCAGTTGGATTCTTCCTGCAAGAACTTTTCCCCGGGCAGTGACCGAGGGTGTAATTAAGAGTGAAGCCTGTGGTTCCAATTCCAGTCTCTTTTTAGTAGTTGGCATAAATCTGTGTTGTGTTGAAAACACGAGCGTGAGTGAGGCAGGGCTGGTGACCGGGAGGAAGAGTGAGACTTCCCCAGCGCTAGGTGGGAAGCAGGGAGGGGAGCAGTTTTTGAAAAGTTGTAATCCTGTCTAAATCCTTTTATGAGAGAAACAACCTGCACGAGTATTTCTGGGGCTTCAGTGTGCTTCTGAAAAGCTCAGTGTGGGGACATCAGCTAAGAAGTGCAGCAGGGGCCGCGTCTCGTGCCGCATCTTGGGCTGCCGTTGTGGGGCAGGGGTAAGCCTCTGCTTGCAACACTGGCATCCCACGTGTCCTGGCTGCTCCACTTCCAGCCCAGCTCTCTGCCAATGTGCCTGGGAAAGCTGCAAAAGGTGACCCAAGTCCCTGGGCCCCTGCTGCCATCCACGTGCGAGACCCAGGTGGAGTTTCAGGCTCCTGGCCTTGGCCTGGCCCTGTCTTAGCCGTCGCAGCCAACTGGGGAGGAAGCCAGTGGATGGAAGATGTGTCATTCTCTGTCTTTCACATAAATAAACGCCACATCTCCATGAAGTGCACCTGTACTTCAGTCAGAGTCCGTGGGTACATGTTGTCTGAATCCCTGCACTTTGCCTGATGGAAGCTTCCAGAGGAGTGAAGCGGGGAATCGAGTGTGCCGGCGCTCTCTGTGATAAGTGATTTGTGCTTTCTCCCATCCACGGTGCAAGCCTCTGGTTGGGACATGAGTTACGTGAGGTCAGCAGGCTGTTGTGTGATCACATAAGTGCTGGACGTTTCCAACGGCCTGGGCCTGGGCAGGGCAGGGCTCTCCTTGCTGGGGACCGTGCTGCCTGTTGAGGGCAAGGCTGCTTGACATCCCCGAGTGGTTTATTCACATGAATTGCTGCCGTCTGAGCTCTCTGTCTTCTGACAATCGACAGGCATCATAAACCCCATCGAAGCCAAACAGAGGAAGGGCAAGGGAGCCGTGGGGGCCTACGGCTCGGAGCGGACCACGCAGTCCCTGCAGGACTTCCCCGTGGTGGACTCGGAAGAAGAAGCCGAGGAGGTGAGTGGAAGGCAGGCCTCGGTGTCCTGTGCCGTGGCGGGCGGCCGACTGCTCCTGCGTTCTGTCAGGCCTCGTGCTGTCGGCCGGGCTGGGCTTCGAGCCCGTTGGATGGAGACACACAGTAAGCCAGCAGCTCCACGTGCTTAGGGATGCAGGCTGTGCTGGAGACGAGGAGGTGACAGGAGGGGCAGGGAAGGGGCGTGGCCCAAGTGTAAGGCACAGGCTGGGACAGAAGTGATCTCTGATCTCAGGAAGGAAGGAGTCCCACTGAGATGTGGCTCAGGGGAGGGGTGGGGCGGGGGTTGGAGGCGTTTGGGTTTCACCCAGAGTGCAGGAGGAGCCACCTGCTGGCAGCTGTGCTGCTGACAGAAGGGGTGGGGCGGCTCTCCACGGAGAGCGGGAAGGCAGGCGCTGCAGGGGAGCGCCTCGCTCGTGTCGTCACCAGCCTCCTCGTGAGCAAGGACACGCTGGACAGTGTGGAAGTGACAGGTCTGAGTCGGGCTCTCAGGCTTCAGAGCTGACGGGTGTGCATGCCACGAGCCAGGTGCCAGGCTGTAGGGGGTGGTGGGGACTCGGGCACACAGCTGAGGACGTAACTTGTGGAAAGCCGCTGTTCGTGTTCGGCGCTAGGCACTTGTTGCCATGACAACACGAGCTTGGGATTGCCTGATCTGATTCCCCCAAAGCCAGCAGACGTCCAGATAGTGTCTGAGAAAATAAATTATGTGTGTAAACCAGTGTGAGAAAAGTGGAGGGACAGCCACACCGTCAACTTCTGAGGGCTGCGCCGTGCCATCCTCAGGCCGGCTTGCTTCCTCACTTCTCTTCAGATCTCCCTGCAGAGGGGTTTTATACACCCGAGTGTCAAGTGGATCCTCACCTTGAGACTTGTTTATCATTTTAATCAGAACCGAGGCTTGGGGTACTCCTGAAGTCCTTCCTGTTGCATTTCTGAGTTTCGCACGCGCTCAGTTTCACACCAGCAGAGCCTGCCCACAGTGATGCCCAGCGGGGTGGCCTTATCTCTGGATCTCCCAGCAGCACGGGGCTGCTGCCCCGCCTTCCGAGCCTCATTGTCTGTAAGAGGCTGGGTGGCTGCAGCGTCACAGCCTTGGTGTGGAGTTGGGGTGAACGTGAGAGGCTGCCCTGTGGTGTCAGTGGTCTTCGTCCCACAGGCTGTGGGAAGCGCTGTTTCCTGTGTGACCAGTGGTTTCCCTGGGGTTTAGGAGTTTCAGAAGGAGCTGAGCCAGTGGAGGAAAGACCCCAGCGGAAGCAAGAAGAAGCCCAAATACTCCTATAAGACGGTGGAAGAGCTGAAGGCCAAGGGCAGGGTCAGCAAGAAACTCAGTGCTCCCCAGAAGGAGATTTCGCAGGTCAAGGTACGGGGCTCCGGACATCGGGTTCAGGAACCACAGAAAGCAGTCCCACAGCCCAGAGGCCGCCCCTCACTGCCTATCCCTGAGCTTCCCAGGGGCTTCAGGGCCTCGTGCGTGGAGAGGGCAGCGCTCCTACTGTGGCCCATGACAGTGCCACGCTGCTCTCGTTACTCTAGGTTTAGTATGATCATCCAGTTACACTCCGTCAGTTGTTCCTCACGGCAAGGGGTGATGACCTTGGTCACATCCCCGTCACAGCAGTGGTGACCCAGGTCACATCCTCGTCATACACAGTGGTGGTGACCTTGGTCACACTCCCATCACACACAGTGGGGTGACCCAGGTCACGCCCCCGTCACACATAGTAGAGGTGACCCAGGTCACGCCCCCGTCACAGTGGTGGTGACCTTGGTCACGGCCCCATCACACACAGTGGTGGTGACCTTGGTCACGGCCCCCTCACACACAGTGGTGGTGACCTTGGTCACGGCCCCATCACACACAGTGGTGGTCACCCACGTCATGCCCCCATCACATACAGCGGTGGTGACCCAGGTCACGCCCCCAACACACAGTGGTGGTGACCCAGGTCACGCCCCCAACACACAGTGGTGGTGACCCAGGTCATGCCCCCAACACACAGTGGTGGTCACCCACGTCATGCCCCCATCACATAAAGCGGTGGTGACCCAGGTCACACCCCCAACACACAGAGGTGGTGACCCAGGTCACGCCCCCGTCACACCCAGTGCTTCCCCAGGGTGTGCATTAGCTGGAAGCTAGAATTAGAATCAGAACCTGGACTTGAACTCAGACACTCTAGGAGATGAGGGTGTCCCAGGTAGCAGTTGAACCGCCGCGGGAGTTCCTGACCTAACGTGAGCAGGTGCTAGCTCCTTACCGCACATCCCTGTCCATGTTTCTCGATGCTTCCATGCGCACGAGTGTGTTTCAGCAGAGTGAGATGTTTTACTGCCTGCTGCCATCAGGGCCTGGTGTGTACACAGTACAGCCTCTGCTTTTCCAGTCAGATCACTTTTGCATCACTGGTCCTCAGTTCCCATTGAAGTTTCCTCAGCTTTCCCAAGAATCCTCTGTCCAGCTTGTTCTAAGGGATGCAGCCTAAACCGCTTGCTGCGTCGTTTGTTTTGTCCCTGAGTCTCCTCAGTCTAGTACTGCGCGGACCCCACTTTGTCAAACACTGCCCGCTGCGGCTCTGCCGAGTGGCGTGGCTCTCACTCTCGGCCAGGCTTAGCCACCTGCTGACCCACGCCCCTCTGCCTCCCCCCGTTCCCCCAGGTCATAGACATGACGGGCCGGGAGCAGAAGGTCTACTACAGCTACAGCCAGATCAGCCACAAGCACAGCGTGCCCGACGAGGGGCTGCCCCTGCAGGCCCAGCCGCCGCCCGTGCCGGGCAAGGAGGCCAAGGCCCCCGGCTTCGCGCTGCCCGAGCTGGAGCACAACCTGCAGCTGCTGATCGAGCTCACGGAGCAGGAGATCATCCAGAACGACCGGCAGCTGCAGTACGAGCGGGACATGGTGGTGAACCTGTCGCACGAGCTCGACAAGATGGCCGAGGTGCTGGAGCACGAGGAGCGCGCCATCGCCAACCTCAGCAAGGTGCTGGAGCTGGTGGAGCAGTGCGCACGGCGCCTGCAGCCGGCCTGCAGCAACCCGCTCACGCTGGACGAGTGCGCCCGCGTCTTCCAGACCCTGCAGGACAAGTACTACGAGGAGTACAGGATGTCCGACCGCGTGGACCTCGCCGTGGCCATCGTCTACCCGCTCATGAAGGACTACTTCAAGGACTGGGACCCCCTCAAGGTGAGTCGCCGTGGAGCCCAGCCTTGCCCGCCCTCGCCCTCGTCGGGGGAGGCTGGGCCGAGGGCCCGGGGCTGCTTGGCCCTGCCCCTCAGCTGCTCCTTCCTCCTAGGACTGCACGTACGGAACCGAGATCATCTCCAAGTGGAAAAGCCTCCTGGAGAATGACCAGCTCCTGTCCCACGGCGGGCAGGACCTCTCGGCGGACGCCTTCCACTGCAGGTACGGAGGGGGGGTCTCTCCGTGCTGTTGACCCCGGAACCCAGGGCCCGGGGCGGGGGGGGGGGGCAGGACCTCTCAGGAGAAGCCTTCCACAGGTACTGCGGGTGGGGCTCCGTGCTCCTGCTGCTGGCCCCTGGGCCCGGGGGGTGGGGGGCAGGACCTCTCAGGAGAAGCCTTCCACAGGTACCGCGGGCGGGGCTCCGCGCTCCTGCTGCTGACCCTGGGCCCAGGGGGAGGCCCAGGAGCATCGACGGATTCAGCTGGCTTTGGGTCAACGCGTGTGCCAGGTGCTGGGCACACTCAGGAGCAGCCCCCGTCTGCAGTACAGTGCACAGGGCAGAGGACAGATGGGAAAGTGCAGACATAGGGTGCTTACTGTTCACAGTGACGGAGAGGAGCAGGGGCCAGCCCCTCCCCCAGAGAGGCGACATTTAAGCTGTGACCCGGAGACAGACGTCAGCTGTGGGGGGACTCTGGGGGGAAAGTGGCCTGCAGGGGCCCTGTGGTCCTGAAGCTGCCCTGCCTGGCGGCGAACATCCCCGAGGACATGAGCAGGTGCAGACAGCCAGAGCACGCCCAGAGGCGGGCCCGGCTGACCAGCGCGGTTTCCTGGGGCTAACGGCTTTCCCTGCTGGGTCTTCTCCCTTCTCCTGGGGGCGGGCGGTGACGAGTGTCCTGAGCACTTCACCGCCCGCCCCTGCCTCTCCCCACAGGTTGATATGGGAGGTCTGGATGCCTTTTGTCCGAAACATCGTCAACCAGTGGCAGCCGCGGAACTGTGACCCGATGGTGGACTTCCTGGACAGCTGGGTGCACATCATCCCCGCGTGGGTCCTGGACAACATCCTGGACCAGCTCATCTTCCCCAAGCTGCAGAAGGAGGTGGGCCCTCGCCGGTGCCCAGGGGGCTGGCCAGCATTTCTGCTCGTTACCTCGGCACCACGGGGACGTCTGGACTGAGCAGGCCCTGCCAGCGTGGCTGTCGTCCCGTGCTGTCAGCCCCGCCCTCTTCTCCGCTTTGCCCCCACACCCCCTGCCCCGGGGCAGTGCTTTCTGTCCATTCTGCACAGTTAGAACTGTGCCATTGTCAGATTTATCACAGATGCATGGCCGTGTTTGGGTCAGCGTCTCTGGGGAAACAGAGTTGCCCATGAGACCATGTCTTCCATCCACATGCAGAAGGCTTTGGCCCTTGGCCAGGAGAGTGCCAGGCCTCCTCCCCCAGGACCAGCGCTTGCCTTTAAGTCCGCCGGGTGTCAGACAGCCACCCCACACTCTCTGAAGCGCGTCTCCCCACTCATCCGCAGGTGGAGAACTGGAACCCACTGACGGACACCGTCCCCATCCACTCCTGGATCCACCCGTGGCTGCCGCTCATGCAGGCCCGGCTGGAGCCGCTCTATTCGCCCATCCGCAGCAAGCTGTCCAGCGCGCTGCAGAAGTGGCACCCCAGCGACTCCTCCGCCAAGCTCATCCTGCAGCCCTGGAAGGACGTCTTCACCCCCGGCTCCTGGGAGGCCTTCATGGTCAAGAACATAGTGCCCAAGCTGGGTGAGGACACGGGCCACACGCCTTCTCTGTGTATCCGGTGGCTTTGCTGCCCTGGCCTCTGAGTGCGTGGAAATGCGTAGCACATGTAATTTCTCGCTGTGAGAACCGTGCCGTGTGTGCAGGGGCCGAACGTAACCTCGCGGGGTCCTCTGCCGTGTCTGCAGGGGCGGTGCTGGACTCGGGGTGCCCTGTGCACTTCCCGAGCACTGGCCTTGGCTGGGCTGTCGGTGTTCTCAAGCTTTTGTGGGATTTCATGCTAAATATGAGTTTGTTCTGGGTTAGAGAAGAAGACGCCTTTTAAGAATTGTTACATCAAGGCTTCAAAGTGATCTTTGGGAACGGTCGGCCGGGCAGCTTGGCGGGGATTCACCGTGGCTGCTGCGGCCTCGCAGGAGCCGAGCCCCCTCCGAGCCAGGCTGTCTCTTGCAGGAATGTGTCTGGGCGAGTTGGTCATCAACCCCCACCAGCAGCACATGGATGCCTTCTACTGGGTGATCGACTGGGAGGGCATGATCTCCGTCTCCAGCCTCGTGGGGCTCCTCGAGAAGCACTTCTTCCCCAAGTGGCTGCAGGTGTGTGCTCGGGCCGGGGCCGGCGCTTCCTTTCCACGCAGGCCTGGCTGAGGGCACCATGGGCTGAGTCGTGGCTGCTGCTCTCAGCAGCTCCGTGGGGACTGTGGCCCCCCAGGGGGATGGACATGGTGGCCAGGACACGGAGCTGCCAGTTTGACTTCCCCAGCCACACTCTCACGTTCCAGGCTGTTCGGCTCCCACAGCTCACAGGGCCAGGATCCCATCAGAACCAGCGGCCCGCTTGGTAATTCTGCCCCATTCGTTTGCCTCTGTGGATCTAAGTTTCCTGTTTGTTCTCGGCAGGTGCTGTGCTCCTGGCTCAGTAACAGCCCAAATTACGAGGAGATCACCAAGTGGTACCTGGGCTGGAAGTCCATGTTCTCAGACCAGGTGCTGGCGCATCCGTCCGTCAAGGACAAATTCAACGAAGCCCTTGACATCATGAACAGGGCAGTGTCCTCGAACGTTGGTAAGCGAAGGCTCCTGGCCCCGTGCAGGTTTCTGAGCGCACAGATGGCGCACACCTGGTTTTCTGGTCCCGTAGGCTGCCTGAACCCCAGGTCACTGTTCCCTCCTGCAGACACTGCCCACCCCCACCGAGACCAGGAGGGGCGTCTCCCTAAATGGAGACGAGCAGGACCAGGACCATGTGGGTCTGACTCAGGGCGGTGTAAGCCCCTGACAGGCCCTCTCTCCCAGCCAGTCCTGGGCAGGGCCTGGGACAGACAGGCTGACGCTTGGTGGGAGCTTCACTTCGTCTCAGTCCCATGGTCATTACTGGTAACAGTAATGACTACTTGATTGGTTACAGTGGGGCTTCGGTGAGCTCAAGTTTGTGCAGGGTGCTCAGCAGGGGGTAGGAGTCAGTGTGGCTTTGGCATCTGGCAGAGCTCCCTGGTTCTAGGTCGGTCCTGTGTTAGATTCCAGGTGAAGGAGGTGTGCAGGCCCACATTTAGGAGCTGACATCTCAAAGCCAGCTCACCAACTCCCAGCAGTGTACTGGGACACGAGTCTGTTTCACACATATGCTCAGTGAGGCCAGAGCTGTGCAGGGTCGCCCAGCTCGAGGGTGGCAGCTGGGCCTGCCGTGTCTTTACCTCTAGCTTATTACATGCAGACACGTGGAGCTGTAGGTTACGTAAATACACTGTTTAATGAGGCAGCCACGCGTCCACACTTCTTGCGCCTCCCCAGGCCGCCAAGGGCTGTGTCCATTTCCGTGCTCTCCAGGAATTCCCCAGATGCCCTGCCCCGTGTTCCCAGGACTGCTCCCTGTCGGTGCCCCCCCCCAGCACTTGGCATTGTGGTCCCGCCTTACCCCCTAAACACCCATGTCTCTGCTGCCCCAGCACATGTGACATTCTCCCAAGGCAGAGCCCTGCGGGAGTGGGTTGAAGTGGGCCAGGGCTTTCCGGCTCTTGGACGGTGGTGCATGTTTGGCAGTGCAGAGTGGAAACTACAAAGGAAGATGGGAATGGGTTCCCGGCTAATGACTGCCAAGGTTTCCAGCCCTGAAAGGCTAAAGCCCATTTTTACGCAGGACAGCCCATAATCTCTGGTTCTTTGACACTAGCAAACAGTCTTACATGATGACATGATGACGGCCAGCTTTCTGTAAACCGCTGCCCCCAGCCCCGAGCTGCGTATCTCCTCTGTGAGGGTGCTTCAGTGCCCTTGTGAGTCACAGGTGCTGTGGCACCCCCAGGCCAGGGTGTCAGGTCCTGACCGCCTTCCCCTCCCCACAGGCGCCTACATGCAGCCAGGCGCACGGGAGAACATCGCCTACCTCACCCACACGGAGCGGAGGAAGGACTTCCAGTACGAGGCCATGCAGGAGCGCCGTGAGGCCGAGAACATGGCCCAGCGGGGCATCGGTGCGGCTGCCAGCTCGGTGCCCATGAACTTTAAGGACCTCATCGAGACCAAGGCCGAGGAGCACAACATCGTCTTCATGCCCGTCATCGGGAAGCGGCACGAGGGGAAGCAGCTCTACACCTTCGGCCGCATCGTGATCTACATCGACCGTGGGGTGGTCTTCGTGCAGGGCGAGAAGACCTGGGTGCCCACCTCGCTGCAGAGCCTGATCGACATGGCCAAGTAGGCGGCGTGCAGGCATCAGCGGCAGTGGAGTGCTCCAGGAAGGGTGCCTTCCGTAGTCACTGGAGACGCTGCACACTGTGCCAGGCTCCAGGACAGAAGACACGGCCATGCTGCCTCACATGTGCCTCACCTGCTCTCGAACGCCATGCGTCCTCGAAATCGGACGGCCCTGTGGAGGTGCTTCCTGGGCTGCCAAGAAAGGGGCTCTCGGCCTGCCCTTCACAGCGGCCAGCCCTGTGGTCCCTGGCAGCGTGTGCCTCCGCTCACACCGCGTGCCTGCCAGGGAGCTCAGCTCAGGGGCTGCGGGCTCTTCCGTCTCTCCTTCCTGATGATCTCCAGGTCCTCGCAGTCCTGATACTCGGGTTCTTCCCGGAACGTCCAGACCTCCGTGGAGAGCTGCTGTAGCTTCTGCACAGGGAACCAGTGGACAGCAGTGTCGTTAAAGGTGTCCACGTACTGGGCCGTCTGGGCGAACTCCAGCTCCTCCAGTCCCTTCAGGACCTGGGCAAACATTGGAACACACAAACTGAATGGTCACGGTCACGCCCCACTGCTCTGGCTTCCATTCCCATTTTAAGTCTTACAAAACAAGGAATCTGATTGGAATGTTTTTGTGCAATGAATGGGGAAACCCCTAGGCCAGTGGACGTGCTGGACGGTGCCCCTGAGGGGCAGGGATGGTCAGCAGAACCCCTGGATGAGGGAGGGAGCTGCCAGCACGGTGACAGCAGTGACATGTCACTCCCTTGTCTGTGTTCAGACAGATACCTTCGCAATGTAGGAGTAGCTCTTCTGCAGGGTCCTTGTCAACAACCTGCAAATAAAGGAGCCCTGATTACCAGGTGGAAGAGTGGTCCTGTTTGACATCAGACACGGGACACTGGATGCCTGCAGTGTAGTAAGACGTTAGAGACCCACTGGGGACGTGAGAGAGGCCAACCAGCGAGCCCTGTGTCCTGCCCGCCTCGCTGAGACGGGAGTGACTCGGACACAGGGTGTGGGGCCCTAGGCAGCAGCAGCGGCTACCTTCCCCCGTCTTTAGAAACACTTGTGTGCATAAGGGCAGGGAGGTGATACTGGTTAGAGCCTGCTGACCTCTCTGGATGGCCTCCTCCCCAGGCCCCTGCGGAGAAGCATGCCTGAGTGGGGAACGCACACGGAGAACAGGCCGCTGGGGGCTGTCTGGGGGGATGCAGGTGTCGCCCTGGGCCCGGCCTTGGGCTCACCTTTCCTGCAGCCCCGTGAAGCTGTTGCCGATGATGAGCATCTTGGAAAGCGCGTCCACAGACCAGTTCCTCCACAAGAGGTTGTTGTACAAGGCCGTCCCACAGTGCACCATGTAGAAGAGGGTGGGCTCGCCAGCAACACTCCGCTTTCCTTCCTGGGCACAGCAGCGGCAGGTGTGAACAGCACGCGGGGGAGAGGAGGGACAGAAGACACCCACTGCCCAGGGCTGTGATCTCTGCACGGACCTCAGAGGCGTGTGGAGATCCTACAGTTGGGTAAGGCAGTCGTGGTCCCCACGTATGGCATTTGGAATCCTGCCCACTTCGTCACTGCAGAGCCCCGTCAAAGTGCGGCCCCTTCAGCTGTCCCCGGGGGGCAGTCACCCCCTCCCAAGAATCACGGGTCTGCAGGCAAACCCCTGGGCAGGGAACAGCAGGCTCTTTTCTGGTAGGCACCTGCCTGCCCCTGGCCGCCTCTCTCCCTGGCAGCTTTGCTTAGATTAGACTGCCAGGGGCGGAGCCAGCGCTGGCTCTGCCCAAGAGGCGCACAGGCCTGATCCTGCAGCCTGGGCAGATCCCTGCCGGGCCTGCAGATCCCAGCTCAGACCAGGACCCCTGCCGCAGCTCCGGGGACGCGGTGCCACTTGACTGACATCCATCATCTGTGGTTAACAGGCCACATGCTCTGATGGGACTGTGGGGCCCCTGAAGACAGGGACTGAGTTTCTCTTGGTCTCCCAGAAGTTCCCTGTCTGGCACAGAGCAAGCACAGGCAAAGCTGACCTGAGCGAAGCTACAGACTTTTTGGAGCTGGCCACTACCGGGGAGTGGGGCCTCTCTCGGCTGGACCTCATCGCATGGTCGCTTACTCAGCAGTCTGATGAAGGTTGGGAACGTCCTATAGTCCCCAAATAACACAAAACAAAACGCACAGGTGTGTTTGAAGCGGCTGCAGCCCTGTGCTTGTGAGCTGCAGGGTTCAAACAGCAAATCCCAGCTATCTGGGGGACGCAGGGGCTTTGTCCACATCACGGCCGGGAGCTGTGGGTGCTCCAGTCCAGGGGGAAAGCCTGTCCCATCCCTTTTGTTCCTGACTGGACCAGGGTCACACTGTGTGTGTGAAATTCACGTTTTCCTGATGAGCCCAACACACGCCAACACGGAGGTATTGGACGAGCCACAGAGCACAGCACGGGGAAGGGCAGGCAAGCAGTGGCGAGGAGTGTCCACCATTTCCAAGCCAGCCCCTCCACGGGCAGAGCCAGGGTCCAGCGTGGTCAGCGTTTGCCTGGCCCTCCCCTTCCACTTCCCGGAAACACGCACCTCGTTCTCGCTCAGAACAGCCACACCGAGGCGGTTCAGAACTGCAATTTCAAGTGGGCTGAACAGAGGGTCATACACCCAGCAGTGACTTCTGGGGATCTGAAAGGGAAGACGACTAGTTCAGTGCAAGCGTCTGTGCGCGCTCAGGGTGAGACCAGGCGCGTGAGGGTGAGGACGATCGAAACTTTACCTGGCACTTTTCCAGGAGGAGGAGCAAAAACGCTAGCTGGTTTCTCGCTACGACACACGTGGCAAAGCTGCCGAGGCCGTAGCACACACACTTGAGCTGGCAGGCTCCAGGGGCCACCACGTCTGCCGGCGCAGAGCCAGGGGCCACGGCTGACTCAGCCAGATGCAGCCTTCCCAGGGCTCCAGAGAGAGACCCCACCGGGGCCTCCAGTTGCTCCCGATGTTTTGTAAGACACCTGTTGACAGTGTCTGGAAGAGCAGCCCCAGATGGGGTCAGAGGGCGTGCGCAAGTCACCCCACACCCAAGTCCCGAGACCCCGTGAGAAAGGGAACATGAGGTCAGGGGCCTCCACTCTGCTGGCCTCACGGCCGCATGTCCTGGGCCGTGCCGCCACACCCACCACAAACAGAAGGGCTCCCACGGCCTCAAACCCAAAGAAGGCTTCCAGCTAAACAAAACAGGCTTCCATCTGAACTTGAATGGGAAGCCACTCTGATGTAGGGTAAAGGTGGGCCCTCAGTGAAACACCTGCTTTTTATTACAACAAACAATGGAGGAGAGCTCTCAAAATCACTATGAACGGGAGTGGGAGGGACTGGTGCAGCACAGTGGGTAAGCTGCTGCCTGCAATGTTTCAAGCGCGGGTTCCAGTCCTGGCTGCTCCACTTCGGATCCAGCTCCCTGGTAACGCACCTAGGAAAGCAGCGGAGGATGGCCGAGTCCTCGGGCCCCTGCACCCACATGGGAGACAGGTACGGAGTTCCAGGCTCCTGACTTTGGCCTGGCCCAATCCTGCCTGTTGCAGCCATTTGGGGAGTGAACCAGCAATACCCCTTTTTCTCTCTCTAACTCTCCCTTTCAAGTAAACAAAGACCTTTAAAAAAAAAAAAAAGGAATAGGAGTATTTAATTATAAAAAGCTCAAAGAAAAGGCTACTGTCTGCCTTTTTCACACTGGTCATTAATTTAGTTGAAAAATCGCATGCCATACAAAAAGGCCACTTATCAGATCAGCAGACAGATTGTTAAGTAAGACACCCACTCCTGCTAGAAACTGATCCACGAAGGAATTGGCTCTTGAGGTCCTTGCTACCAAAAGCTTTTTGGAGAAGCTGACAATGGAGAGCACGCTGGCTACCACCTCTCACTGAATTCTGGTGCCAGGAATATATCCTAAAGTCACCCTCTATTTGGTAGACACTTTACACGTAAGGTGTTCATTGTGAAGTTAGGTGTAATGATCAAGGATAAAGGCAAAACGTAAACATTCACCAATGAAGATAGCTATGGTCTAGTCACTCCCTGTATAACTACAAGGCCACACAGTCGGGAGGGACTAGAACTGTCTACAGCTGTAACATCGAGGACACAGAGCAGAGGGATGTTAAGGTTCAGTAACGATGACACTAAGGTCTCCTGCTAGGCAGCAGGCAACACAGTTTTAAGCACTAGACAGGCACTTAGTTCTCAGAATGGCACTGCAGGATATGCATGTTATCCCCTATGTCACAGGTAAGGAAGTGGGTGTCAGCTGTGAGGCGGCAGGCAGAACTGGAACCCGGCACCTACACCATTCTGGGAAGCAAAATGCCTCTCGGGGGAATCGGAGTCCTCCCCTGTTCCCTTTCAGGGCTCTCCCCAGTCCTCCGGCCCTCCCCACGGCAGGGGGGACTCACCTAGTGCTGAACTCCAGAAGTCCGAGAGGAGCAGGTCTCCCCTGCGGAGAGAAAAACTGCGGTGGTCTCCCAGCCTTTACAAGGCTCACCTCCCCGACCGTGCCAGGCCCCCCAAGCCCAGCAAGCTACAAACAGAGTCGGTGAACACGCCAGAGCCAGAGCACATGCTGCTGGGCTCAGGGAGGCATCCTGGACAGCGACCCTGATCACCAGGGTCAGGTCTCGGCCTGTTCCGTATCCTTGGTCCCCAGCGCACACAGGGATGCAGCTCAGTGGACGGCTGCGGGCTCAGACTCGGCTCTCAGAGCCGTAACTGCCTCACCGCTGAAATGGGGGGGAGAATCCCATCTAGCACAAGGGGTTGGGGGGAGGGGAGGTTAAACGGTCACCACTCGGCGTGAGGCCACAGTGCAAAGCGGCAGAGTCCAAGACACCAACGCCAAGCACCTGGGCTTGCTTTCTAGTCAACTGCTTTCCAAACGGCCGGAGCAAAACAACATCAACAGTGGACTTAAAGTGAATGGGATTTGGACGGACGGACACGCCTCAAGCCAGGGACAGTATTTAGTAGGCCGGAAGGCCATAGGGAACGGAAGGGAAGAGTAAAAATCTGCCCGAAGGCTGCCCCCACATCCCCCACGGAGGGCAAAGGAGTGCTCTGGTCAGCCCGTCCAGTGCCAGGCCCCTCTGTCCTCGCGGTGGGACGACCACACCACACTCAGGGGTGCCAGGAGAAGCAGGGAACTCCTGGGAGATGATGTGGACGTTGGGGAAAGAGGTCCAAGGTCAAGGGTTAGGAGAAGCGACTTCAGAGTTCTCCAAGCCCCCCCCCCCCAAACACACAGACACTCTCACAGGCACCCTCTAACATCTTAGTCCTGCTGTTTCTTTCTCAGGCCGCCACCTGCTGTTCAGAGGTAACTTCTGGGTCCCCGCTGCCTCTCGCCCCTGATTCCAGAGGAGAGGAGCACACAGAAGCAGCCTATTTGCTCCCCTTTCTGATGGCCCTTCAGAGGCTGAGATGCAGAAAGGCTAACTAGAGCTGCACGACTGCAAACAAAAGTAGGAACACTAAACAACAGGGGCCGATGCCCTGGCGTAGCGCGTAAAGCCACCGCCTGCAGTGCGGACTTCCCTTATGGGCGCCGGTTCGAGTCCCGGCTTTTCCACTTCCGATCCAGCTCTCTGCTGATGCAGCCGGGAAAGCAGAAGAAGATGGCCCAAATGCCTGGACCTCCGCACTCGCGTGGGAGACCCAGAAGAAGCTCCTGGCTGCCCCCTGGCAGGGCCCTGGCCATTGTGGCCATTTGGGGAATGAACCAGCGGGTGGAAGACCTCTATTTCTCCCTCTCCACAAGAAAGCTCACAGGCCCCCCAAATAATCCTAGGTGACTGCCATTTGTACCCCAGGCTCACAAAGCAGACGGCGGAGGCGCGGGGTCTACCACCTGCCCAAGTCCAAGCCATCGCACCCACAGCACCAGGAATGGCCGTCTTTGCTGAGCGCGTACTCCGCCCCGGCCCCGCCACGCCACGCGCTCCGTGCCCCGGGGGAACCCCACCCCCCCAGCACCGCTTACAGGGCGCGCAGTGCGGCCCTGCTTTACGGAGAGGAAGACGGCGGTGCGGCGGTGCCCCCGCACGCGGGGATCATCAGAACCAGGGCCGGCCTCCCACTCACTCAGCCTCCCGGAGGCGACGAAGCACGACTCCAGGGTCTGCCTCGAGCCCCGCCTCGGGACTCCGGGCCGCCGCCGCCGCCGCCGCCGCCGCCGCCGCCGCCGCCGCCCGTGCCCGCGGTCGCCGCGCGCCCGAGCGCCTCCTCCGCGGAGCCGCAGTCTCCCACACGTCCAGCGCCGCCATGAACCTGTGACGCCATCGCGGCGCGGCGCGGCGGCCCGTGCGTCATCACCGCGCGCCGGCTGGCCGCGAGCTGCGGTAGGCGGGGCGGCGCGTGACCGGGGGCCTCGCCGCCGCGCGTGGGTGAACCGGGCCCGAGCCCTCGATTGCGCCGCCGTCGCCGCCGTCTACACTCCGGGTTCAGAGCGCACGAAGCTCGAGCGCCGGGCTGCCTGTGTACTCCGGTGGGTGGGCGGCGCTGGTGGCGCGGGGACACCGAGGGGGGCGGGACCCCAGCCCCATCACAGCCCCGGGCCCCTTGCCCACAATTTCCCAGCGGCCCGGGCACGGAGGCCGGACGCTTTGCGGGTTGCTATCGCTTCCTGAGTTCCGCGGGCTGCGTCCGGCGACTCCCTGCCCCTTCGCGGCCCCCTTGTCAGCCCGGCCACCCCGTCACGGCCATTTCCGCCATCGCGGCCCCCCATCCCCCGGCTTTCCCTTTCTGGCCACTTCCTGACCCTCCCCTCCCGCGAGTCGTCCGCTCGCCTTCTCCCACCCAAGGCCCGGCCGTGAGTCTCGTCTCCTGGGCCTTCCCGAGAGCGCAGAGTGGACCTTCGCAGGGTAGGGCCCGGGAGCTCTGGGAACTAGGCATCGTGGGGGTGTAGGGGGTGGGCTCACGCTGCTTTCCCTGGGTCGCTCCACGCCACGCAGATCCGATGGGGATGACCCCGGGAGGGGCCCAGCTCAACAGATCTGAGAGCTGCTGTGCAGGCCGGCGAATTTAACAAGCCATATCGAGCCCCCACTGGCGGCAGAAGGTCCCTGCCCCAGAATGTCCCCTTGACGTGACCCCGGGTTGCCAGCTGGAAGGCTTACACTTGGTGTTTTCACAGAGCCGCGGGAGGGGGGGAGCTGCAGCCTGCGACTTGAGGAAGTCAGAGGCGGATTCAAGGATCCGAGCGGATGATGCCAGAGCCGGATCCCACTTTATCTTGTGGGAGTCTGGAAGCCACTTGGTCCATTTCTCTCTGCTTGTAGAAGCCTTGCTCAGCCCTGGAATTCGGCACCTTCGGATGACTTAGGGGCTGGCGGGGAGCCCAGTTCCTTAATTTGGGTTCTGTTCTTACTACAGCAGCCGCTTGATCTGTCTGGCTGTGCGGTACACCCAGCGCCTTCTGCACTCCTGCTGTTTCATTTTATGTCTGTGAGGTGTGTGTTGTATTCGCTGTTGACTGTGCAAGGAACTAAGGCTCCTAACTTGGAGTCTCGCCCGCCCGCCCTTTTTAGAGCCTGAAACGTGATTTTCTCGCATTAGGAAGCTCTTTGAAGACACAGCCTCTGTTTTCATTCTGCTGGTCACATGTTTGCTCGTGGGTTTCTGAAATAATCAGCCCCTTTGTTCCTTCCAGAGCCGAGGCACTGATGTTTGGACTGGAAGCTTCCGGACTTTGGAAGCTCCGAGTGCCTTCAGAATCCAGGCCCAGCATGCATCTGCCCCGTTGGGCTTTTCCTGGGGAGCGCCTAGGAGAGGCCACCGCGTAGACAGCCACGCCAAGGCTCCCGGGACCACACTGCGCAGTGACTTCTCCGGTAGAGTCCTGTGTCGTGTGCTCACCCAGTTCTAAGGGACGGAGAGGTATTTGGAACTGAGGATTTTGCGAGGCAGAGAAGAGACGCGTTCATGCTGAACACAAACTACGTGGCAGTGTGACAGAAGACACAGAAAGCTGCCACATCGGATTCACTGGACTTGGGGGACCGCGGGGCGACGGAAGTGACCCTGGAGAACGGGGATGAGGGCCCCTGGGGAATAGATGGCCGCCGCCCCGGCCGCGGAGACAAAGGCGAACTCCTGGTGAGTATCCAGCCGCGAGGCCGCGCGCTGCGTGGATCTGTGCGTGAATCGAAAGTCCACAGCCGGGTCATCTTGATTCTCTCTCTTTCTTAAAAAAAAAAAAAAAAGATGCGTTTATGTATTTGAAAGGCCGAGTGACACAGATAGTGAGAGATAGAAAGAGATCTTTCATGCACTGGTTCACTCCCCAAATGTGCACACCAGTCAGGGCTGGGCCAGGCCGAAGCCAGGAGCCAGGAGCTCCTCCAGGTCTCCCACGTGGGTGGCAGGGGCCCAGGTCCTTGGGTTGTCACCTGCTGCCTCCCAGGCGCATTGGCAGGAAGCTGGAGGATTGGCAGTGGAGGCGGGACTCAGTACACGTGGTGGCTTAACCCACTGTGCCGCACAGCCTGCTCCATGTTGATTTTCTTAAGAAGAATAAAATGGAAAGCCGTTTTCCCCAGAACTGCTGAAGCAAGCACGTGGGGCATGTTTCTCAAAAGCGAGTGTTTTAAGCTTGCAAAGCTCTTGCCGTGTCAGTCTGGTATTGCTGGTAGCTTGCAAAAAAAAAAAAAAGCCACAGCTGCCCCTCGCAGCCCACTCTGATGGTCATGTAGGCATTGAGGTTTTCACTCTGCAGAGCCAAAGAATGGCTGCCTTTGAGGACCGAGTGGCATGAGCGGGGGTGCAGGGCATTGCACAGCGTCTGCTGGTTAATCCTCTCTCCTGCCTCAGTTCATCAGAGAGATGAAAGTGAGAGGCGTGACTCAGCTAGGATTGGCAGGCTCCACTGACTCATTACGTGCGGGGAGTCCCCCCCATGACACCCAAGTTCCTGCCTTGTGCCTGGAGAGCAGGGGCGCCTTCCCTGAGCGCGTGGGGGACAGGGAGGAGCGAGGAGCGGGCCCACTGTGGGGCTTCCCAGGTGGTTTTGCAGTGCCTTGGGGGATATTTGATCTACTTGCCATGCAGTGTCTCCCGGCCCCAGGACCCAGGAAAGTGGAGCAAGTTAGGGACGGAGCAGGAAGGGGTGGCGGGAGCCAGCAAGGGCAGAGATCCCCAGCAGAGGGCGCTGCTGACACGGCTCATGCCTGAGGCTGACCAGGGGTGCTTTTGAGAATTTAAGAGTAAAACTTGGGGCAGCATTGTGGCACAGGGGGTTAAGGTGGCGCGTCTCTGGCATCCCGTATCAGGGCACTGGTTCAAGTCTTGGCTGCTCTGCTTCAGATCCAGCTTCCTGCCAATGCACCTGGGAGGTGGCAGCCAGTGGCTAAGTGCTTGGGCCCCTGCCACCCACTTGGGAGACCCAGATGGAGCTCCTGGCTCCTGGCTGTGGCAGCCATCTGGGGAGTGAGCAGCAGGTGGAAGATCAGTTTCTCTCTCTGTCTCTTTCACTCAGCGTTAAAAAAAAAGGGGGGGGGGTTTAATTTTTTGTTTTAAAGAATAAAATTGAGTCCCAGACTTTGGAGAGTTTGCTTTGTGGCCTTAAAGAAGTAATCGGGTAAAAACGTTGACGGAGGATGGCGTATCTCAGCGTAGACCTGAGAGTCTTTAGGGGGGACAGAGGCTTAGGAAGATCCGGGGATGGGGGTGTCTCGCGGCCGAGTGAGTGAGGAGAGGGTCTGCGTAACCCTCAGAGGCCCCGGCCCGGTGAGGTTTGAGCAGCCAGGAATCCTGTGTCCTCCGTGACTGGGAGGCCTCTACTCTTCCCGTCGCGGGCCTCCGAGTGTGCTGCACCTGCACCGGAGCTGCGAGGTGCGCGCCCCCTGCAGGCGTGCGAGGTGAGCGGCCAGCTCCTGCCGGAAGGGCTGTTCGCAGACGCCGCTGCTGGGGAGGGCCCTGTTCCTAGTGGGGCTCCCGCCCTTGCGGACGGTGTTATCTCTGGATAGCTGCTGGGCTCCTTCCCCTCGGGGGCCTCCAGAGGAGGGTTTTCCGAGCCCGAGCCCGAGCCCTCCCTCCCTCCCTCCCTGGGCTGGGCTGTCGGGCGCTGCCTTTAGAGTGCCACGGCCCCCAGGTCAAAGGAAGCGCGGCCCCGGTCTGCTCTCTCGCCAGGTGGAATTACTTTTTTCTTTACGATGGTTCCAAGGTGAAGGAAGAAGGCGATCCGACGAGAGCGGGCATCTGTTACTTCTATCCCTCGCAGGTAAGCGGTGGCGGGTGCCTGCAGGGAGCTCCTGCGGCCTCCGACCGGCTCCGTGCCAGGGAGCACAGGCCGTCTCCGGTGGCTGCCCCAGGCACGTGCGTGGCTGCGGTCTCCTTCTTAGTCGCGCTGTTTCTTATTTCACTCATAAAATTCCCAGGCAGCTCAGCGCCTCCATCTTCCATCTTGGTTTGAACCTGTGTAGACGTGGGGGGGGGGGGGTGTCGTGGACCCTCCCGCGTCACTGCTGACTCCACAGGTGTCGGCTCGCGGACAGTTTCCTGTGCTCTATCCTAACCTCCCACTCCCAATTTTTTTTTTCCTGAAGAAAATTCTAGACATTGTGTCATCTCACCAGTGTCAAGTAACATCTCTTAGCATTTTAAGCATTGTCACACCTAACAGAAGCTACAATAATTAGAAACAATAATTCCTTAATATCATTTGGTCCCCAGACTATATTTAAATTTTCTCTTGTTATTGTCAGTGTTACTTAGTCTGTCCTCCTTCCCCTCTTTCCGTCTTTTTTTTTTTTCCTATTTAAGAGTTAAACAAGGCCCACATATTTTGCAAACCCCTGCCCCAGTCTGTATTTTCAATCCCCCCCTCACCTCCCCATCCAGCGTCCCCCTGGCCCAGGCCGTTGAGTGCTTAAAGAAGCTGGCCCATCTGCAGCGGGATGTCTCACGCTCCGACTCGCCTCCTCCCTGCCGCATGGCGCCGCCTCCTAGTGTCTTCTACGCATTGTGTTTCCTTCCAAGTAGTTGTAAGCTCCAGAGCTTCGTTGGGTTCACGGTCGGTTCTCTCAGGAAAGAACTCTCTGTAGGGAGCGTGGACAGTCCCTGCCGCGTCCCGCAGTGCCTGCCCGTCCCACGGCCCGCCGAGGCTGGGATTGGCCGGAGAGTCCGCAGGTGGCGCCCCTGCGTGGGCAGCGGGATCCATCCCGCTCTGGGAGCCACCCCGGGCCGGGGTGTCAGCGGGAACCCGAGGCTCGTGCCTCTGCTGCAGCTCGTGCTGTAATCCCAGGACACAGCTGGTGTTCCACGTGGTCTCCCGGGGTCGGCTGTGGGTGTTCTGTGCGGTGCCGTCAGCCCAGGCAGGGCTGGGCAGCTCTGGAGAGGGCTAGAGAGGAAGCATCGCACCCGCAAGGTCTCCAGCGCGTCTTCGTCTTGGTTGTCACAACCCTGGGAATGCACGAAAGCCATTCTTAGCTTGCAGACCAGAGTGGGCCTGCAGGCTTTCGTGTAGTCTGAGGCGTGACCCAGGAGTTCCCGAACTTCACCTTGGCCCTGCGCTCTGCTCCTCTCCTGCAGACCCTGCTCGACCAGCAGGAGTTGCTCTGCGGGCAGATTGCCGGCGTCGTCCGCTGCGTCTCCGACATTTCTGGCTCTCCTCCGGCCCTCGTTCGTCTGCGGAAGCTGAAGTTTGCCGTGAAGGTTGACGGGGATCACCTCTGGGTGAGTTCAACGGCGGGATCAGTGCTGGCGTCAGACGTCTGGTGTGAGGCGCGGATGTCCCCACCCATGTCTTTTCTGCTAGCCAGATGTCTTCCCCTTAATTTTCTTTTCTGAATTTGTTTTTGTTAATTTTTATTTATTTGAAAGGTAGAGTGACAGAGAGAGAGAATCCTCCATCCTTCAGGTCACTCCCCACATTCCCTCAACAGCCAGGGTTGGGCCAGGAACTCCATCCAGGTCTCCCGCGTGGGTGGCAGGGACCAAGGACTTGAATCGTCACCTGCTGCCTCCCAGGGTGCGCACTAGCAGGAAGTTGGATGGGAAGTGGAGGCGAGACTTGAGCTATGCACTCCGTGGCGGTTAAGCCTGGCGCACCACTAGGCCTGCCCCCTCCTCATTTTCCTAATGATGCCTTTTGAGAAGAAGTTTTTAGTTCTAATGGAGTCTAATTTATCACTTTTAGCATTTATGATTATTGCTTTCCTATCCAGGAAACCCTTGCCTACTGCTTTGGAGACGATAGTCTCTAGTTTTGTTTTTTTTGCTAAGAGTTTTGTAGTTTCTGATTTTAAACTCAGGTCCTTTAATCCGTCTTGGGTTACTGTTTATGAATGGTGTGGGTAGGGGTCAAAGGTCATTTTCTTCCATCTGAACAAACACCCAGTTGTCCCAGAACTGAAAAGACTTTTCCCTTCATTTGGGATTCCTTTGCCTCCTTTGTCGCAGATGTGGTGACCGTTGGGGCGTGGCTCTGCTCTGGGCTCGTCTTGACCCCAGTCTACATTCTCCGTCCTTTTTTTTTTCTTCCGTTTTTTTAAGACAGCTTCGGCTCTTTTAGGTCCCCTGTGTTTCCATTGTAGAGTCAGCGTGTCAGCTTCTGCAGAGGAGCTGAAGGGGTTACGGCTGGGGTTGCGTTCAGCCTGCAGATGAGTTGGGGGCAGTGAGCACTGCCCTGCCAGGCCGGTACAAGCCCTTGTCTTATGTCGGTGACCAACGGAAACAGCCTTGTCCAACTGTAGCCACGGCCAGGGAATTTTTTAAATGAGTGTTCTGCCCGGGTTTGTTTATTGGCTTGTATTCCTGACGATTCCCTAGGGCAGGTTCCTGGAGGGAGCTTACTGGCTTCAAGAACGTGAGCTTTTCTCAGGCCCGTTGAGCACGTGGCCAGCTGGCTTTCCAGCTGAGCAAGCGTTTATCTAATGTGTAGCTAAGCACCAACCTCAGCAGTTTGGCGGCCGAGAACTGTGATGACTCAGCCGGCTCTGGCCCAGAGGCCCTGGTCCAGCTGCAGGCACAGCGTGGCCCTCCGCGGGGCAGTTGGAGGGTCTGTAGTGAAATGCGCCTTCCACGGCTCCGTCCAGGTGACAGACTTAACGATGCAGGGGCCAGAAGAGAGGTCCACGGGGTCTGGAGCTAGCCAAACAGCGATCATGGAGGTGCCAAGATCTGGGCTGGGCCCCGGAGGGGCTGGGCAAGGCCTGGACAAATGAACAGGAAGGAACAGGGCATTTCGGCCTGGGCAGTGGGCAGGGGTGGATGGGGGCTGCGCCTCGGGGCCTGGGGAGGGTGAGTTTCAGTGGGCGCTGAGGCCTGGTGAGAGCCCAGGAGGCCAGGGTCGGGGGCCAGGGCTCAGGGCAGGGAGAATGCCCGACTTCCCGGCTTCCCTCTTGCCAGGTGCTGGGCTGTGCCGTGGAGCTCCCGGATGTCAGCTGCCAGCGGTTTCTGGATCAGCTCATTGGATTCTTTCACTTTTCCAATGGCCCCGTTGCCCTGGCTTACCAGGTATGAACGCGTCCCTGGAGGAGCCCTGTGTTGGGCCTCAGCAGCTGTCACAGGGTCGCACAGCCCAGCCCTCACTCTGAGATCTGGGATTCTTTTTTTTTTTTTTTTTTAAGATTTATTTTATTTATTTGAAAGAGTTACAGAGAGAGGTAGAGAAAGAGAGATCTTCCATCTGCTGGTTCACTCCCCAAATAGCTGCAATGGCCAGAGCTGAGCCGATCCAAAGCCAGCAGCCACGAGCCAGGAGTTTCTTCCGGGTCTCCCATGTGAGTGCAGGGGCCCAAGGTCTTGGGCCATCCTCCGCTGCCTTCCGAGGCACATCAGCAGGGAGCTGGATAGGAAGTGGGGCAGTCAGGACTCGAACCGGTGCCCTTATGGGATGCCAGTGCTGCAGGCCGGGGCTTTAACCCACTGTGCCACGGTGCAGACCCTGGGATCTGGGATTCTTGAAGCAAACGTGCCCTGTGGAGTGCCTTTGTCTGCAGCTGGGTCGCCCTGTCTGCGCTGCTCCGGGATAGTCTGAAGGAGCAGGCAGATCTGGGCTGGGGATGATTATCGGGTGGGAGGTGGGGGCTCACGGGTGTGGAGGAAGTTCAAAGAAGGTCCCCCTTGTGGCCGCTCCCCTGGGCGAGGGGCGCTTTTCCTGGTAGTTGGGAATCTTGGACGCTGACCCCAGTGGTTGTGTTTTAGAACTGCTCTCGGGACGAGCTGAGCGTGGCCTGGGATTCCTTCATCGAGCAGATCCTGCACAACACCGGTGACCTGCACAAGATCTTCAATTCCCTCTGGAACTTGGACCGAACCAAAGTAAATTTCTCTCCTCCTCCTCTTCACCGCTTCTATGAGAAGAGAGCTTGGGCACTTGGAAGAAGCGCTCCTACGTGAGCAATGTCTGGAAAGGCCACCAGAGGGCGTTGTTTCAGCAGGGCCCTTGTCAAGCCCTGCACCTGAGCCCCAGGCTGCTGCCCCTCAGCTGTGCACACCCGGGTGCCTCAGCTCGGCTCTCACAGCCGCCACACTCATAAAATGGCGTCAGGACAGCTGCTGCCTAGAATTGGTTTTGTTAAAAATTATATTTACTTTTATTTTGTTTTTGAAAGGGAGAGAGAAAAAGATCTACCATCTGCCGGTTCACTCCCCAGAGTGCCCACAGCCAGGACTAAGCCAGGCAAAAGCCAGCAGCCAGGAACTCAATCCAGGTCTCCCACGTGGATGGCGGGGGCCCAAGCACTTGAGCCGTGATCTGCTGCCTGCAGAGACACACACTAGCAGGAAGCCGGGTTGGAAGTAGGGTAGCTGGGATTCGAACCAGGCACTGTGGGGTTGAATGCCAGCGTCCCAGGTAGCAACTTCATTGCTGTGTCAAATGATACCAAGGAAATACTCAAGTGGTAGACTCAGTATTCTCAAGGTTTCCTTCTCTCTTGAAATGGTATCTTGCTTTATCAGAGTGATCAGGATGTGTCTTTGTGAGCTGTTCCATCTGCCGTTGACGGTGAGGCACTGGCTGCTTGTGTGGCTGGCCCTGCCCTCCTGGGAAGCAGCTACCTGGGTCTTGAGCGTCTTGGGCAGGGGATGCATCCTACAAGTGTCACCACTGTCGTGAGGTGTGGCACTGGGCCTCGGCCACCACGTGGCAGGACTCCGCCAGACACGGCGCGGGCTTCTCGCTGCTCCTGTCTGTGGGACTTTGAGCCTTAGAGAGTGGCTGGCTGGGAGTGGCCCAGTCCGGGGCTGCGGAAGAATGAACTGCACTTCTTCACATGGCCACAGCTCCAGAGGTTGGCTTTGTGAATGCCGAGTCGTGCCTGGCAGACAGGTGGAGAGATGAAGGGGCTGCTGGTCATTGCCGCCCACTCTTGACCAGGGTCAGGTGCTCTCCTCGTACCCATAGGGGCTTCTGGGCAGCTGTCTCCTGCCAGGCAACGTGGGAGCGAGACCGGTCTTCCCGAGTGGAAGGCCTGATGCTTTGCTTCATGTTAAGGGTACTCACGGGACCCAGCCGCTGTACCGTCAGGGGGCTCGTGCCTCAGAGGGCAGCTGGAGGTCGGGGGTCGACTTCCCCTGGCTCTGAAACCCGTGTATGAAAGCCACGCACTCACGTCGGTAGTCAACATCTCCTGGGGGACCTCCCTTGTCCCCAGGAAGGCCATATGCCACACTGGCTGCACCTGCAGCGGGCCGAGAGGCCTCCTTACTCCAAGAATGGGGCATTTTGTCGTGTCAGCGGTCGAGGGTGGAGAGGTTGGGCAGTCCCACACCCGCTCCTCTCCCTGGGCCTGTGCAGAGCCTGTCTGTCCTGTGCCTCCCCTCCCCTCCCTTCCCCTCTCCCCGGCTCACTGGGAGTGTGGTCCTGAGTGGTGTGACTTGGGGCTCACTGGGAGCGTGCTCCTGCGTGGTGTGACTTGGGGCTCACTGGGAGCGTGCTCCTGAGTGGTGTGACTTGGGGCTCACTGGGAGCGTGCTCCTGCGTGGTGTGACTTGGGGCTCACTGGGAGCGTGCTCCTGCGTGGTGTGACTTGGGGCTCACTGGGAATGTGCTCTTGAGTGCATGTGACTTGGGGCTCACTGGGAGCGTGCTCCTGCGTGGTGTGACTTGGGGCTCACTGGGAGCGTGCTCCTGCGTGGTGTGACTTGGGGCTCACTGGGAGTGTGCTCCTGCGTGGTGTGACTTGGGGCTCACTGGGAGCGTGCTCCTGAGTGGTGTGACTTGCCCGGCACAGGTGGAGCCCCTGCTGTTGCTGAAGGCAGCGCTCATCCTGCAGACCTGCCAGCGCGCACCTCACATCCTGGCTGGCTGCATCCTCCATAAAGGACTGTAAGTACCGCCGCCCGCTGCCCGCCGCCCGCCGCTGCAGAACTCACTGGCCCAGCCGCCTCCACGCCGTGGCAGGCAGCCTGGCCTCTGGCCGGTCCCAGGTGGCCCCGCTGGACAAATGTCAGGGGCTGAGATGGGACTGAGCGCATGTACCTGTCCTGGAGCCACGCTGGGGAATACGAGCTGGGTGCAGAGACGCGTGAGGAATGCAGAGGGATCGCAGAATTGTCGGGTAGGCCGTTCTCAGCCCGCAGCCGATGTCTCTGCTTGGCCTCCGAGGACTCGCTGGCTCTTCACAGAGCTGAAGGGCCTCCTTGTGAGCCCGAGTGCCTGAGAGCCACTCCATGCACCTCGCAGGGCCTCTCTCCTGGAGGGTGTACTCTCCCGGGCTCGGGGCGGCCAGGGCCCTTGTTCAGAGCTCTCCGCTGACTGATGGACCGCGCCGCTGCGCAGGTGCTCCCGGCTGCTCGGGAAGAGCCCTTGAGCGCGGGCACTCGTGAGCCCGACAGGCTAAGCCCAGTCCTGACTTCCTTCCTAGCGGCTGAGCGACCTTGCGCAAGCTGCTTAAGCTCAGCCTTGTCTTCTGGGAAGGGGCGCAACTCTGTGGCCGCTGGAATGAGATGGGCGGTGTGGAGGGGCCAGTGCTGGAATGAGAGGGGCGGTGTGGAGGGGCCAGTGCTGGAATGAGAGGGGCGGTGTGGAGGGGCCAGGCACAGGCCCTGGTGCGTGGCGGCACCCCTTCCCTGCCGCCGCTCCCGTCACGATGCCGCTGCGTCAGCTTGTGGGGCGTCTCCAGCACCGAGGCCGTGGCCCCGCGCACAGCATCGTTCCTGATGCTGCCTTTCTTGTGTGTTTTAGGTTAGGCAGCTAACACGTGAACACATTCTCATTACTAAAACCGCAACCCCACAGAAACACAGAAAGCACGTTGGAGAGCCCCCTTCCGTCCCCGGCTCTCAGGCCCCATCCCCAGCGCTGGCTGTGTGCTGAGTAGCCCAGTCCTCCCTGGCCCTCGCCATTGGTTGGACCTGTGAGTAGAGGCATCCAGGACTGCACGAGTCCTCGGCAATGTCCCACAGGGGAGGCTGAGGTGACACCTGTCCGTGGACAGAATGCACGTGTTGTGGTGCGCTGGCCCTGCCATGATCTGTTTCACTATTTTCTTTGTGATGGACATTTAGATTGTTTGCCCAATTTTTAAAAGACCTGTTTTTGTATTTTTTTCCCATTTTAATTATAAAGCTCTACTTTTTTAAATAGATCTCTCTGAGAGAGGTATCTATCTTCCACCCACTGGTTCACTGGCCAAATGCCTGCCAACAGCCAGGACTGGACCACGTCGAAGCTACAGGTCTCCGTGTGGGTGCCAGGGGTCCAAGTGCTTGAACCATTACTGACTGCCTCCCAGGGCATGCACTAGCAGGAAGCTGCACCGGAAGTGGACGTGCCGGCTCTTCGATGCAGACGTGGCAATGGTGTCTTAACTGCTGCCCCGCGTGCCCACCGCATGTTTGCCCATTTCTTCCATTTTCCCTGGGCTGAATATCCTGCATACATCCAGGTGCAAGCCTGCTGAGAGGCCTCAGACAGTGAGCATAGATGGGAACTGAGAGTGCCTTCCCTTCAAACTCCCAGCAGTCCTGCCCCCGGATCCTCCGCCACAGGGGACACCAGGCCCCCTTGAGACGGAGAGGCCTCGGCGCACTTCACTTCTCCTCACACTGTTCTTGTGCCTGTGTCACCCCTAGGGTCGTCAGCACCCAGCTGCCGCCCTCCATCACTGCCAAGGTCCTGCTGCAGAGCGCCGCACCCCAGGAACAGGTATGGTCAAGCGCACCTGCTCGGCTGGGCGCTCCGATCTGGCAGGACTGTGGCCGCGCGCCGTGGATCGGGAGCGCTTGTTCCCGTCATCGCGTCCAGACCCCGCTGGCGAGGCCGGGAGATGATGCTTTCTTGCACGGGTTCGGCGTAGGGGGCTGGTTCTTCTCCACACCGAGGGCAGGGCTGAGACTGACTTCCCACCAGGCGGGCTGTCAGTGAAACAGACGTTTGGTTTTCCCAGAGACCAATGCTCAGGGCTGCATCCTTAGAAAGCCTTGGGAAACAGCAGCTCGTTAAGGTACTTCCATCTGTGCTCACTTGGCTTTTTAATGAAAAGCCATCCCCGTGCTCACCGAGGGCGAGCTTGCCCAGTCGACAGCCTGAAGGCAGCCCTGATGGCCCCTGCCAGTTCTGTCCCATCCGCTTTTCCTGTGTTCATGATGTGTGGAGGATGCGGAAGCTGTGCTTCCACCTGTATCATAAGGCTCTCTGTTCCTGCTTCTCAAATCAGGAGACATTGCGCCCTGGTGGGGTCTGTGCAGCCCCCTTGCCCACTAGAGCGGGAGCTGTCAGTCCCCAGACCGGCCTGTCTCGTCACCCAGACTTAGGGAGCCCATTCCTTTTTCCTGGTAACCTGGCTTCTAGACTCTGTCTCAAGGAGACAACCTCTGGAAAGATCTGGACTCCGGACTTTCATACGGCCTGGTTCAGGAAAACGAACACTCGGGTAAAATGTGAGTGTCGCAGGTGGGGGTTGGCGAACTTGCCTGTGGGCCACCTGCCTCCAGGGGAGCTGTGTGGCCTGGCCGTCCATTAACCCCGCAGAGACCATGAGGCAGAGACCACGTGGGTCATGAAGCCGGAGGTGACAGCAGTTCGCCCATTGCAGGGCATGTTGGCTGACAGCTGGGCAAAGCAGGGAGCTGGTTAACTTAGCCTGACCGCTGGAACTTCACACAGCTCTCATGAGCCATTTAAAATGACCAGAGATGCTTCAGTGACAGGAATTCCTGTTTAAGCAGAAAAGGGTAATTTTACACAATGTGGTCTTAAAAGAATAGAAAATGCAAAGACCATTTGTTTTTTAAGATTTATCTATTGGGGCCGGTGCTGTGGCGCAGTGGGTTAAAACCCTGGCCTGAAGCGCCAGCATCCCATATGGGCACCAGTTCTAGTCCCAGCAGCTCCTCTTCCGATCCAGCTCTGCTATGGCCTGGGAAAGCAGTATAAGATGACCCAAGTGCTTGGGCCCCTGTACCCACATGGGAGACCCAGAAGAAGCTCCTGGCTCCTGGCTTTGGATCAGTGCAGCTCTGGCCCTTGTAGCCATCTGGGGAGTGAACCAATGGATGCGAGACCTCTCTCTGTCTCTCCCTCTCTCTCTAACTCTGCCTCTCAAGTAAATAAGATTTTTAAAGAATGTGTTAAAAAAACCAACAGTAAATTATTATTTAAAAAAATATTTATTTGAAAGGCAGAATTAGAGAGGGAGAGACACAGAGAGAGACCTGCCATCCACTAGTTCATTCCCAAATGGCTGCAACAGCCAGGGGTGGGCCAGGCCAAAGCCAGGAGATGGGAACTCCATCTGGGTTTCCCACATGGGTGGCAGGGGCACAAACAATTGGGCCATCTTCTGCTGCTTTCCCAGACACATTAGCAGGGAGCTGTATAGGAAGCAGAGCAGCTGGGACTTGAAGAATCAGGGCTCATATGGAATGCCGGCATCGCAGGCAGCAGCTTGACCCACTGTGCCGTGATGGCTGGCCCCAGTGCACAGACTGACGGGGAAAATGCCCTGTGTGAACCGTATTGCTGTGGGGGTGAGGGACTGTGTGTGTGTCTGTTTCTAGGGTAAGATAACTTTCTTTAATATTCTTTCTTTATTTTATTTGAAAGGCAGAGTTGCAGAGAGAGAGGTCTTCCATCCGCTGGTTCCCTCCCCAAATGGCCATAGTGACTGGAGCTATGCCGATCCAAAGTCAGGAGCCAGGAGCTTTTTCAGGGTCTCCCATACAGGTGCAGGGGCCCAAGGATTTGGGCCATCTTCTGCTTTCCCAGGCCACAGCGGAGAGCTGGATTGGAAGTGGAGCAGCTGGGACTCGAACCACACCTATATGGGATGCTGGCACTGTAGGCGACGGCTTTGCCTGCTAGGCCACAGCGCCAGCGTATAAGATCACTTATAACTTAGTAAACAAAAACATGATTTTGAAAAGCCCCAAAGACAAAAGCAACCTCTGATCGTTTATAGGAGTGGAAAGGTTTTGGTTAGAAGCATGCTGCTTGCTGGGCCCTTGCTCTGTTTGGAAGGCCCTTTCGGGACCCCCAGCTTGTGAAGGTGCTGAGCTTTCGAGCCTCGCTGTGACCCGGGGTCCGTAAGGACGATCCGGTGTGGTGTTCTGTTCGGGTCAGATCCGCTACGCTGAGGGTCCCACAACTCTCACGGCTGTGCTGGGATGGGCTTGACGTGAGTTCTGAGTCAGGGGCTGGGACAGGCTTGGCAGTTTCTAGAGCAGAGAGCTCTCCTGAAGGCATCGGAGAGAACGTGGATCCTCGCATTTGCTCCCCAAGCACAGACGGGGAAGCAGAACGCAACACGTGGTGGGAATTCAGGTGGGGCCTCGGCTGCTCGCAGCCGTGGTGGGAGCCGGTGCCTCTGCGCGGCCCTGGGCCTGGGGTCGGGACAAGCGCTCTCCGGGCTCGGCTGTTCTGTGGACAGATGCGTGCTGATTCCTGGCGGTTAGGCACTGACTGGGCATGTGTCTGTTTTCAGAGACTTCCTGCAGCGAGGGACGCCCCGCCGGCATCAGGTACGTCATCAGGCACCGCAGCGTTCCCCACCCTGTGCACGCCAGGCGAAAGGCAGTGCAGGCCGCGCGTTCACTGCCTCGCTTCCTAACGAAAAGGCACGTCACAGAGCTTCACGGACAGTCTCCCATCCCGAATGCACGATGTTAGGCCTCGCCAAGCCTGTGTAACTCAGTGCGGAGAGCCCTCCTCTTAGGGTGCTTCCACTGGGGTCTTTTGACCTCACAGTGGTGCCAAAGCGATGCACGTTTCGTAGAAGCCATGCTTGCGGTGTTGAATCTTGCTCCTCTCCCAGGCCGGTGGTACCCAGTACGGCCCGCTCTCCTGGTGCTGGGCATGCTCAGTGGACACAGCCGTGGGCAGCCCCGCCATGGCGCTAACACCACAGTGTGCTGTGCTGTTAGGTCACGCAGGCACAGCCAGTGCAGTTCCGTTGACAGTATTTCCTTCTTAATTACTGTTTGTTGAGAGAGGGTACCCCCAGCTGCTCCCCCAGACGCTTACAAGGGTCCAGGCCTGGGCCAGGCCAAAGACAGGAGCCAGGAACTCATCCCAGGTCTCCCATGCGGGTGGCAGGGGGCCCAGCACTGGGCCATCAGCTGCTGCTTTGCAGGTCTGCGTGAACAGGAAGCTGGGGTCAGGAGTCAGAGCCAGGCGCTTGTTCTGGGGTGCAGGCGTCTTCACCGCTGGGCCAGACACCCACCCCCAAGAGCGGTTAGCGCCCCTCGTCTTCTCTGGCCCGCGGGGAGCCCTGCCCACGCTGACTTGCGTTTCCAGGAGCAGCGCTGCCCGCCAACGTCCGCATCATCCCTGTGTTCCTGACCGGAGAGGAAGCCGCGAGTCTCCGTGAGTTCCCAGTAGAGCGGAGCACTGGGTAAGGAGCCCCCTGCGGGTCAGCTGTAAACTGCCCTCATGGGACCCCCTCCCGCGGCCCCTCCCCCTCGGTTCCGTCTCCCACACACCCTGTCCCCGAGGCAAGCGTCTGGGCCTGCAGTAGGCTGGTAAGAGGCAGTTTGGCCCAGTAAGGAAGAGCAGGTGTCAGGCTCCAGCTCTCTCAGTGGTCTGGTGGCCTTGGACAAGCCCATCTTCTCTCTGAGACTCAGTGTTTTCATCTGTGAAATGGACCCAGCAGCATCTCTCGCGTGGGTTTCCATGTGAGTTGAGCACAGTCTTTGCCTGGCCCCCATACAGGCCTGGCTCAGCGCCCCCCAGCGTGAGTGACTCTGAGCCCCGAGTTCAGAAGGCCACGCAGCCCCACCCGCAGCCCCGCCTGCAGCCCGTGGTCATGCAGCTCATGCCGGGTCTTGCCACGGTGGCCTCAGGCTGTGCGGCCCCAGGCAGCCGCCTGTCCCAGATGCCTGTGTTTCTGAGGCGCTCGTGCAGTGGTCCCCCCAGGAGAAGGGCACTCGCCCTGCCCTCAGCCCGTGTGCCTGCCCTTCCTTACCTCTGTTTCCCCTGGCAGCCCTCCTGCACCTCCAGCCAGGCTCCGGGACGGCTCAGCCCAGCGCCCTCCCCAGCCCGACAGCACATCTCCTGGGTGCGTGGAATCCGTGGCCTGGCCACTGGCCACCACGCTGCGGCCCCCGTCCGCTGATGAAGCTCGGCCAGACGTCCAGGGGGAGAACGGGCACCCATGGAACCTGGGGCCTGCGGGACTGCACGGCACTGCCCGGGGCCGGGGGCCCGGCCTCAGCTGCTCCCCGGAGAAGGAACTGGACTTGTCTGAAATCCACATTCCAGGGGCTCAGGAAACAGGGACTGCCGCGGGTCACTTTGCCATCGCCCCTGTGTGTGCCCCAGACAGCGGAGTGCCTCGTCCCCAGGAATCCGTCAGCAAGCCCGGTGACCTGGCGCCCACGCCGCCCGAGGACGCAGCTGCCGGCCGCTTTTCCCCCCCCTCCCCTCCTGAGGCGCTCACCCTGAACGGAGCCTTGGAGCAGCGTGAGGACCGCCCAGGCGACAGTGGCCCTCTCCCCAGGAGGAGCAGCTGGCCCTCATCTCTGCCCTGCCCAGAAAGCAGGCGGAGAGGAAGTGCGCCTCCTGGGAGGGAACGAGGCTGGGATGGGGCCCTGGACGGCACCCACGAGCGCCCCCCCACGCCTGGTCTGCAGTGCGAGTCAGGCCCAGGCCCCGCCGCCGATATCGACTCCGGCCTGCCCCCAGCAGGGCCCTGCGTGGGACTCGTGCGGATGAACCTGTACACGCACAGCGTGAAAGGACTGGTGCTGTCCCTGCTGGCCGAGGAGCCGCTGCTGGCCGACGGTGCGGCCATCGAGGAGGTGGTGAGTGTCCCTGGCCGCCCCGGCCCTCTGTGCCCTCTTCCCGCCCCCTGGAAGCATGGAGCGGCCAGTTCGGCCTCTGGCTCTGCGACCCTGGGCCAGACGCCCTCGCTTACAGCGTGTGGGGGAGGCCAGGGGGAGGCCAGGGCCTACCTCCTACCTGCGTGGGTTGTGTGGGAGTGAGGAAGAGGAAGTCAGGGCACGCCCCTGGCCTGCTGCAGAGGCCCAAGTGTTGCTTCACGTCCTGTGTGGTTTTCAGAGCGAAGAAAGACCTGCCAGGGAGGCTTGCCCTCGAGCCCTGGCCCTGTGAGCCCGACTCCATCACCCCACGGGCGGCCCTAGACACAGCACAGTGACGCGTGGCCGTGCCCCACTGCCTGGCCTGGGCAGCCCCGTGCACTGCAGCGTGGCCCAGCCCGGGCTGGGAGCTCCCCAGGGAACCTGTGTGTCCGTCCAGGGCCAAGCACGTCCCACGGCGGTCTGCAGCTCCTTCCCAGAAGGCCCCGCCCATCTGAGATGCACACTGGCTCTTGGGGGGCGCCCCTCCCCCCTCCCAGGGGTAGACTACCTCCAGGGCTGGACAGGCCGGGTGGTGCTGGAGATGCGGTCTCCATGGTAACAGCCTGGCTGGAGTTGGCAGGGACAGCGGTAGCAGAAAGCACAGCAGGTGGAAATGGCTGCAGGGCCCGTGGTGTCCTGGACTTGCCTTGTTTTTATCCTTAAATCTATGTTATTCTAAGCCGGTCCCGTGAGCATGCAGGGCCTGTGGCCCCCTGTCACCGAGCAGGTTGCCTCGCAGCCCCGAGGCGGGAAGGCCACCCGCAGCTTCCCACCCACAGAGCTCCTCTCCAGAGCTGTGTGGGCACACCTGTCCCCTTCGCGGCCTCTGTCCTCACTTGCCGTCCTTGCCGTGGCTCTGAGGGGGCTGCGTCCCCCTCCTCCTTTGAGCCCCGTGGGGAGTTCCGTTGCAGCTTTGCCCCTCCTCTCCGTGGCGGTGCATGGAGCTTCCTAGTCTGCTCTGCACAGCGCTGCGTCTCCGCAGTGCACCCTGGGGCCCAGCGTGCGGGAGCAGGTGAGAGCACGGAACGTGGCTCTCCTCTCCCTCCACACCCTGGGGCACCGTGCTACCTCACCCCTGTTCCTTCAGCCACGCCTTGGAAGACGCCCGGGAGGCAGGCACTGTCACCCCCATTTTATGGATCAGAAAACTGAGCCTCACCGAGGCAGGAAGACCCCTGCAGGCCCAGGCCCAGAATTCTCATCTACTTCCCCACGCCCTCCCTGGCGTGCCTCCCCCTGACGAAGGGGGCAGCGGCTGCTTCCTGTGGCTCTCGCCGCAGCGCTTGGTCCCTCCAGGCCCGTCTGTGCCTCTGTGGGCGCCGGGGAAAGCGGGGCCTGGTGCCAGCGAGGCCTGTGAGGTGGAGTCCAGCTTCACCAAGCTCATCTCTCCCAGGAAGAGCAGGGCGCAGCCGAGCCTGGGGAGCGTGTGGGCCTGAGAGCAGCTGCGCTCACCAGACCCGAAGTCTGCTTACGATTAGAAGGGGGCTCTAGTGAGCCTCTCTGTGCAGACCTGTGCGAGTGCGTGACCGCTGTCCCCGCAGCCCGTCTGCCGCTGTGCAGAGCCAGAATCCCGCAGCACGGGCAGCTCCAGGCCGGGCGGCCCGGGAGCGTGACCCGTCTTTGAAGTGGCCTTGGTTCCGTTGCACACAGCCACAGGAAAGGGCACAGAGCGTCCTTTCCCCATCCCAACTCCCAGGAGTGAGCGGCGGGCGCAGCGTGGGTTGGGGGAGCAGCCAGGAGGGTCTGAGCTGGGAACCCAGTAGGCTCACGCCAGGGGGCAGCACGGAGCCACTGTCAGTCCCCGGGCTCCAAAAGCCAGGATCCTGTCGTTGGCCTTGAACTACAGTGATCAGATCAGTGATTCGTTGACACACTGGGACATGGAGCCATCTGTATGCTGTGGCTGCAGCTTCCGGCTGTGCGAGCGCGTTACCATGAAGTACGCCGAAGCTCCTCCCCTCGGCTGTGACCCTGGGCTTCCTAGGGAGTGTGTGTTCCGTGCCGCGTGCTGTGTGCTGTGGTGCGGGAGGGAAGTCCCTGGACCCAGGCGCTAGCCCAGCCCTGCCTCTCCCAGGGCCACACACGGCACGCATCGGGGCTGGCAAACTGTAAACTGGCAGAGGCCCCATTGTCAGCGTGGGGTGACTGCTAGGGTGGGAAACTGCCTGGGGCAAGATGCGGGGTCAGGCCTGGCTGTGTCCGTGCAGAGCTTGTGTTTAGGGACACAGACACTGGCACTTCGTCCGACCTGCACGTGTCACGAAGTTGTCCCCAGACAAGAAAATATGGAACTCAGGGCTAGCCTCGAGGCACCGCCTGCTGGCGTCCATGTGGAGTACGGCCAGTCCAGGCTCTGTGCTTCTGAGCCTGCTCCCTGCCGATGTGTCTGGGAAAGCAGCTGAGGGTGGCCCGAGTGCTTGGCCTGTACCTCCCACACGGAAGACCCGGGTGGAGTTCCTGGCTCCTGGCTTCAGTCCAGACCAGCCCTGGCTGGCTGCTCGTAGCTCTCAGTCTGTGTAACAGACCCTGCTGGGTTTAGTTCCCGGACCGTGGGCTGCTGGCTGCTTGTGTAAGTCAGTGAAGAATTGCCCACATTGTGGCTGGCTGTGTACTTATGGTGAGGTGATTATATCTTAAGCACAGGGTAGAAGATTCTGGAAGCTGAGCTTGGTGCCTGTCAGGGAAACGGATTTTTGGCTTTGTTCACAGTCTGACCATGGTCCCTTGCCCGGGGCTCTGGCTTAGAGTGGGAGGAATGACAAGTGCTGGGTTCCTGGGGTCTAGAAACTCCCAGTGAGATTGTGGCCTGACTTCCAGGAGAGTGCTGGTGGGTGCCTGTGCGTGCACACACACACACACACATACACGTCCAGAGGTGCCGGGCATGCCTGACCACACCCCCACACAGCTCCAGCGTCCACAGCGCTGGGCCTTGGGCGTCTTCCTTGACTCCATTTATTACAAATTCATTGCGTGTCTGCTAGGAGTCAGCTGCTCTGATCGTGTAAGAGAAAACCTTCAATGTCAGACCTGTTGGCTTTCAGTGTCAACTCTAGGACAGTCGATAAAAAGCTAATTTAGGGGCTGGCGCTGTGGCACAGCAGGTTAAGCCTTAAGCCTCTGCCTGTGACACCGGCATCCCACATGAGCACCCATTCAAGTCCGCCCGGCTCCCCTTCTGACCCAGCTCTCTGCTATGGCCCGGGAAAGCAGTGGAGGGTGGCCCCAGGGCTTGAGTCCCTGCACCCACGTGGAGACCCAGATGAGTTCCTGGCTCCTGGCTTCCGCCAGGCCCAGACCTGGCTGTGTGGCCATCTGGGGAATGAACCAGCAGATGAAAGATACCTCTGTCTCTGTCTCTTCTTCTCTCGGTAGCTCTGCCTTTCAAGTAAATAAGTAAATCTTAAAAACCAACTAGATCTATGAAAGATACATATCGTAGGACATGAACTCAACCCCAGCGCACTTGCAAAGATGCCACGTGGGCTTCCGGACGCGCGTTTCCTGCCCGGCTGTGGCAGAGCCGTCTGCACACAAGGGGGCAGCACCGCGTCGTTTCCACGACTGTATCCAGATGCCCACTCCAGAGCAGCAGTGTAGTGTTGACATTGACGTTGACTGAGGGCTCCTATGTGCCCCATGTGTGCCACCTCACTTCGCCCGCCCCACAGCCCTGTGGGGCTCCCTTTGCCAGTGGGGCAGTGAGGCCTAGAGAGGTCGATGGCTTGCCCCTGATCACCGGCTAGGAGGCCAGGCCCGGGGTGCCCTTCACTGGCCTGGGAAGAGCGGTCTTGGCCCAGTGGGACGGAGCGGGGAGGCTCCATTTCAGACAGAATCTGTCAGAACCGGGTTGCTGTCCTGGGCACACCATAACTGCATGGCCACTAGAGGGCGATGTAGAGTAAGGATGGGCAGGTCGTTCGCACTCCATGGGGCAGCTAGACCCTGCGGGCTGAGTCCCTTTCTGTCCCATGAGGAAAGAATGGAACCCAGCAGTGCAGTGCAGTGGCCTGAACATTGCCCACCCATGACTGCTCTCCAGAGAGGCCCTCACCCCTCCGACAGCCCTCTGAACCACTGAACCTGGAAAACCGTGTCCTTCCAGGAGCAGGGAGAGAATACCTCCTCTTACCTCATTCCACCCTCTGACGGCCGCCTTCCTCCAGGCCTGGCTGACAAGCACTGGGGGGGGGCGGGGGGGGTTAGTGCTTTTCTAAAAACAGGCGGAAGTGGTGCTCCCAGCCCATCTCCCTAAATCCAGCAGCCTCCGAGACGCTCTGTAGACGCTTCATTTCTCACTGCGTCCGCGGTCGAAGCGAGAGCCTCCCGGGGCCTGCCCGGGCTCGTCCTGCCGGCCCGTGACCGGCTCCGACCTCTGCTCTGCAGTACCACAGCAGCCTGGCGTCGCTGAACGGGCTGGAGGTGCACCTGCAGGAGACGCTGCCCGCGGACAAAGCTGGCCCCGCCAGCAGCACCTACAACTTCACGCACTACGACCGCATCCAGAACATGCTGACAGGTGAGCAGCCTGTGTGGGCTGCAGAGACACCGGGAGGGGGAGGGGGCGAGCAGCGCTGCTCTGCACAGCTGGGCGCCTGCGGCTCAGGGAGCGGAGAGTCGGCTTGGCCCAGGCTTCTCTGCCCATGGGTCTCTGTGCTCGGGTGTCCGTGAGGTGTGCCGCCCACCTGTGCAACAGAAGGGCCCCGCACCCCCGCCATGCTCCTCCGGCGGAGGGAGGGGGAGGGTGGGGGCTGCTCTTCACGCTCCGTGTCCTCTGCCAGCGAACCTGCCGCAGGTGGCCACCGCCCAGGACCGCCGCTTCCTCCAGGCCGTCAGCCTGATGCACTCCGACTTCGCCCAGCTGCCTGCGCTGTACGAGATGACTGTCAGGTGAGCTACCCCAGCGCTGTCACTGGCTGCTGTCCCCGGTCCCGCGCACACGGCCACCTCCCGGGGGCCAGGCAGTGCCAGGGTCTTCACTCAGTGAGGAACATTCTAGTTGCTCTGTTCAAGGTCTTCTCTCTCTCTCTCTCTCTTTTTTTTTTTTTTAATATTTATTTATTTGAGAGGCAGAGTTACAGAGAGAGAGAGAGAATGGAGAGAGAGATCTTCCAGCCGCTAGTTCACTCACAGTTGGCTGCAATGGCTGAAGCCAGGAGCCTGGAACTCTATCTGGGTCTCCCACATGGGTGCAGGACCCAAACACTGGGCTGTCTTCTGCTGCTTTCCCTAGCACATTAGCAAGGAGCTGGGTCAGAAGTGGAGCAGCCGGGACTCGAACCAGCGCTCAGATCTAAGACACCCGAGTCACAGGTAGCGGCTTAACCCTCTGTGCCGTGCCGCCAGCCCCACCAGGCCCTCGTGTCTGCCCCCTCTCACGCTGACATGGCCCGGGGTTCTGGGTCCCTTCCTGTGTCAGCCACTCGGGGTCCCACAGAGGAGAGACCTGTGGGCCTTCCTGGGGGGAGCTCCACCGTCCCCAAGGGAGGCGCTGAGTGTCCCCGGCGGGACAGCAGCGGGCAGACGGCCGGAACCTACCGAGGGGCACGTCCTGCACGCCCATCGCAGCCCGGCAGACCCACACTCGGAGTCTGTGTGTGTGGCCACAGGTTTCGTGGTTTGGGATTTTTATTTTTGTACATAAAACCCAGATGATTGGTACCTTTATCTCCTCTCATGGTTTAAGTGAGGGCCCGGCACTCGGCAGCTGGCTTTTCCCATCGCTGCACGTCTTGAACTCGCCCATTCTGTGAATCACGGTTGTGACTGACTTACAGGATTTAACCAATCAGATCCTTGTTTTTGGCCCCGCCCCCCCATGCTTCTTTGGTGAAGCCGGTAGCAGGGAGTCAGGCAGGGAGTGCCCGAGGCGTGCGTGCTGTGCTACTCCATCCGGCCCTCCCCACTCCCGGGTCTCGTGCACCTGCTAGTCCTCAGTCACAGGCGAGCACGCAGAGGCACGCGTGCTGTCCCAGAGTCACGCTGTTAGGACGTGGCCAGGCTGAGGTCTGACCTCGGATCTCCCTGGCTGCAAAGTGTGTGGCGGGAGGGCCGTGGGCCCGGCTCACAGAGACGCATGGGAGCCCTGGTGGTGGGGACCGCTGCAGTGAGCCCAGCCTACCACACCCGCATGCCCCTGTCTCTGCTGGTGCCTCGCTCCATCCCAGATGGGTCTGCTCCAGCGCCTGTGCAGAGCTGCCCTGGGCCGCCGCCTGGGTGTGATTTGGGCCTGGTTTTCTTGGGCGTGTGGGGTGGCAGCACGTGAAATGTTAGCGTCTGCTCCGCCAGCTGCCCGGCAGCCGCGGCGTTCCATAGCCCTGAGGGCCAGCAGGGTTTCAGTGCTGGGATGTGGTGAGATTGTGTTAGTGCAGGCGACAGAGACAGCAGCCGCCATGCCGCAGCCTCTTACCAGGTGTCAGCAATCAGTACGCAGTTCTGCTCAGCTGACCTCCTTACCAGGGCACACACTCGTGGCATAGCCAATGTGCATGGAAGGCCGGGACTCAGGCTGAGTAATGCAACCCAGGGCACACAGCTAGAAGTACGGGGCTGGATGTGGACCCCAGACCCAGGCTCACGGCCACCACAGGCCACGTGCCTCGCCTGTGCCCGTAAGAAGCCCATGGCACCCCTCAAAGTCCCAGAGAGCAGCTAGAGGAGACACTTGGGTGATGGGAGCCAGGGGGTCTCTGCCCCCCCCTCATGCTAGCTATGGGGAAGCAGGCCTGGTGGAGAATTGCTTCAGCAGGGAGGGGCCGGGAACCAGGGCACCCTCTCCCTGGTACTGGTTCCTCCCAGGTGGCTTCTCCTCTGGGGCCCACAGCCACACCCAGCATCTGTGTCCACAGCCGTCTGTCCCACCCTGCTCTACACATATGCACACACACACCTGCCGCCACCTGTCAGCACTCCTTCCGGCCACACCTGGGGGAGGGGGCATCTGATCCCTTCCTCACGTGCAGCCCCCGCCACTGGGCCCCGGGTCCTTCCCTGTCAGATGGGTTCCGGCTCAGAGCACGAGGCATGTGCAAGGACTAAACCAGGACCGCACGGGAGGCGTGCTGCGTGGCTGGAGCCGTCAGCAGAGCAGGCGCTCAGCCTGGGTGCGGTGACTAGAGCTTGAGGCCCCGTGGACCGGGCGGCCCCCAGTGAGCCCCCAGATAGCCCCTCGCGCTGTGGGTGCATCAGGAGGTCCTGAGCCCCAGCGGCTGGCCAGCGCGCGGCGTGGCGGTGAGCAGGCCCGCGCGCCTGTAGGGGCCGCACCGCCAGCCTGTCTCCCTGCCCTCCCGCAGGAACGCCTCCACAGCGGTGTACGCCTGCTGCAACCCCGCCCAGGAGACCTACTTCCAGCAACTGGCGTCCGCCGCGCCCAGCTCGGGCTTCCCCAACCCCCAGGACGGCGCCTTCAGCCTCTCCGGCAAAGCCAAGCAGAAGCTGCTGCGGCACGGGGTGAACCTGCTCTGAGCGGCGCTCCGGGCGGTGGCTGTGCTGGCAGAGTCCCTCTTAGGGACGCGGTGACTGCAGGCTTTAACTTGCTCCGCAGATGGGGCTGTGGGGTGGGCCGTGTATCCCGCACCAGATAGAGAACTTGGTCAGATTGGCGGGGCTGGGGCTGAGGTGGGTGCTGGGCTGCAGGTCCCCAAGAGACCCAGGGTCCGGTAGTGTCCCCGCTCTGCAGACCTGAGAGATTGCTGTTCTCCCTCACCGTTCCCCCCCAGCCTGCACAGGTGCCGCACAATTTCTGGCTGCCATCTTTTCTAGAAACTGGTGCCACAGGAGGGCCGAGGGCTGTGATGGCCAGGCCCCCGTCTGGGACGTGGGCTGCGCGGCTTGTCCCCGCTAAGCCGTGCCCCCAGGCGGGAGTCTGCAGGAGCCTGCCCTTCCTCGGTGGCCGGCCATGTGGACTGCGGGCTTTGCCCTTGGGCATCACGCGGAGATGACGCCACCACTGGACGAAAACCTTTAACAGAACATTCCAGAATGCTGGAGGGTAGTGGGCGGGTGGCCGCTGCGGGGTCACCAGCTTCATCTCCGGGAACAGGCATCTCATGTTGTTGGCGTGCTGTCTTGTCTACAAGCAGTCGCCAAGGGCTACAACCGAAACCAGTAAAAATGCCTTTGCTGCTTGTGACAAGGTCACACTGAGGTCTGAGAGCAACGCAGGTGTGAACCTCACGTGTTTTCAAAGGGTGGGCATTTCTAGCCATTGGAAAATTGAGAGGTGAAATGCGAGTATAGAAGTGCCAAAGGAATTCAGAAAAGGGTCTCAGATAAGTGCGTACAGTCCACGGAGAGAACGGGCTCTTTCACTGTTTGCCCCGTGGAGTACACACGGATCTGGTCTGAAACAGTAACGGGGGCCAGTGCTGTGGTGTAGCGGGTAAAACCGCCGCCTGCAGTGCCGGTGTCCCATAAGGGCGCTGGTTCGAGTTTGGGCTGCTCCGCTTCTGATCCAGCTCTCTGCTGTGGCCTGGAAAAGCAGGAGAAGATGGCCCAAGTCCTGTACCCACATGGGAGACCTGGAAGAAGCTCCTGGCTCCGGATTGGCACAGCTCCGGCCATTTTGGCCATTTGTGGCGTGAACCAGCAGATGGAAGACCTCTCTCTCTCTCTGCCTGTGCTTCTCTCTCTGTGTAACTCTTGACTTTCAAATAAATAAATAAATCTTTTTAAAAATAAAAAAACAGTAACATCTGTCGGCCCTCGTGCACGTGCACCAAAGGCGGAGACGCGGGAGCCGCTCGGGTACCTGGGCTCCAAACCTGGCTCCACGGCTCACTCCAGGAGCTGCTGCTGCACCGTGGGAGGCCATGGGGACACTCGGGTAACTGGGTTCCTGCTGCCCGTGTGAGAGACCTGGGGTGAGCTCCAGGCTGAGCTGCCCCAGTCATAGGCATCTGGGGAATGAAACAGGGGGCGGGTTCTCTCCTCCACCCCTCCTCTCTGTCTCCGTCATTCCCTAACTCTGCCTCTCAAATACAGAAATCTTTCATAATTGAGAGGCAGAGTTACGGGGGTGGGGGTGGGGGTAGAGAGCATCTCCATCTGTGAGTTCACTCCCCACAAGGCTGCGTGAGCGCGGCTGGACCAGGCCGAAGCCTCGAGCTCCATCCAGGTTCCCCATGTGGGCGCAGGGGCCCAAGGACTTGGGTCGTTTGCTGCTGCTTTCCCAGGAGCACACGAGGCTATGGAAACAGGCCGAAAAGAACGAAGAGAGAGCAAATTCACAGAGGTCCTCGTGAACCCATGGACTCCTGGTCTGAGCCTGATAAGACTTCATTTCTCAAAAAAAAAAGTGGGGCAGCAGGGACTTGAACAGGCACCCACATGGGGTGCTGTTGCAGGCAGCAGCTTAACCCACCCACCGTGCACAACACCAGCCCCTCGAATATATCTTTAAAACATTTATTACATAAAATCAACCAGCATATACTGGGCTGTGACATTTCCTAGCCACCTCCTGTCGCTGTTCTGGTGATTTCAGACATTGCCATATCCACGCCAAACGCCGTGTGACCGCACAGCCCCGCGTGAGCGCTTCCTCTAGTCCATCGCTCTCGTGGCTGGCCGGTGGTTTTCACCATATATATATAATGCGTGGAACACGGAATACCTGCCAGTCCACTCTTACCAGTGAGGCTTCCAGTCACTGCAGGCTCTTAGCAGCTGAGGCTTGGGGGACTCAACCATTGTATATGGATCCTAACCACCGCCTCGTTCAGGGGTCAGCTGTGTGTACATACGTGTCCACACATGTCTTCATGCGGGCACATTTCTCTTTGCCCACCCTGGTTTGGCTGGGCGAGGATCTGAGCTCTCCAGGAGGCGCCGTGTGTCGTGGCGCGCGGGTCGGCAGCCCGCTGCTTCCGCGTGGCTGGTCCCGGACACTGGTCCCTCCTGCCGCTGTGACGCCCAGACAGGAGGAGCCGCCCAAAGCCAGGGCGGACCTGGGTGGTCCTAGTCCCCTGCTGAATTGCCCAGGAAGCGCCCCGCCAGCTCCTGGGCCAGCCTCAGGGCCCTCGGCGTGGCACGCTGAGATGGAACGCCTCTCTGTCGCGGGCACGGCTAAGCAGCCACACGGAGCGGCGTCACAATTCCAGAGCCACCACCACCACCACCTCGAACCTCATGAGGTTGCAGCCGGTCACGTGCTGAAGCGTGGATAGGATCTGGGGCCCCCTGCCGCGGGGGCCTCACCTAGCCGTCCATGTTCAAGGGCTTCCAAGCAAGCTCGGTTGGACAAGGAAGCCACCTCTGCCCTTTCCTGGACGTCCAAGCTGCGGGCAGCTTTGCTTTATTTTCAGAAACCTCTCTGAACACCACAGGGCTGCCTTTGAACCTAAAAATGCTCTGACTACAAAAATCATTTTGTTTCTAAGAATGACTGCTGGGCCAGCGCCGCGGCTCACTAGGCTAATCCTCCACCTAGCGGCGCCGGCACACCGGGTTCTAGTCCCGGTCGGGGCGCCGGATTCTGTCCCGGTTGCCCCTCTTCCAGGCCAGCTCTCTGCTGTGGCCAGGGAGTGCAGTGGAGGCTGGCCCAAGTGCTTGGGCCCTGCACCCCATGGGAGACCAGGAGAAGTACCTGGCTCCTGCCATCGGATCAGCGTGGTGCGCCAGCTGCAGCGCACCAGCCGCGGCGGCCATTGGAGGGTGAACCAATGGCAAAAGGAAGACCTTTCTTTCTGTCTCTCTCTCTCACTGTCCACTCTGCCTGTCAAAAAAAAAAAATGCTGTGGGCAGCCCGGTGCTCCCCCCTTTAAGGCTTGTACCCCAACTTAGAACTTGCCAGGCGAACAGGAACCTGTGGTAAGGGCGGCAGGATGGGACGTCCCCCAGACTCTGCCACACACGAGGAACCTGCGTGCCCTCGCTTGAGCTGTTAGGTTTCCGCCTGTCTCTGGGGTTACTCATTACTCAGACAGGATGTTCAAGCAGCCCTACTGTGAGGACCTTGTGGCCAGGGGCGGAGGCCTCCAGCCCACAACCACAGGCGCCTCCTTGGATGCAGGTCCTCCAGCCCTGGTCAAGCCTCTGGATGAGACCACGCATGGTCTGGCGCACACGGAGCTGCAGTTCCGAAACCAGCTGTCTGCATCCCTGGCCTGGGGAACTGGGCTGCGCAGTGCACAGCGTGTGTGCCCAGCCCAGGCCGGCCAGGTCTCTGCTCCTCTGCCCCTGGGCCCTGCCCCAGCCTCTCTGCTCTTCAGGTGTCTCCACCGCGAGACGCCCCCATCCTGAGCGTGGCTTCCCCAGCGTGCGCCCCGAAGTCCCATCTGTGTTTCCTGCTCCCAGCTTCCCTGCGCCCAGCTTCTCTGGGAGGGACTGGGGATGGAAGCCCATGGGCTGGGGTGGGGGCCTGCGGAGACTCCCTCCCTGGTCCTTCCAGCTCTGGGTGGGAAGGGGTGGACGGCCCCTCTCACCTCTCTCTGGTTCAGAAACCGGGGATCCGCCTGGACAGTGGGTACATTTCTGTTGCCCTCAAGGAACACTGAGCGCCCCACCCCCACCCAGGCCCCAGGTTCTCTGCTGTGGGTCCAGAAGCCCCCCAAAGGCCACCCTGGGTTGGACCAGCAGCAGAGCAGACCGCAGGATGTCGGTGTGGCAGGGCCTTTGTTCTGCTTCCTGCAACAGAACCTTAGGAGTCCCCACTTCCTGCACCAAAAGGCACCAGGCACCGCCTGTGATTAAACAGAGGCGATCAGAGTCCTGCTGGGGAAAAACCATTGCTCCCCAGGAGCTCGCTGGAGCCTCAGCAGACCCCTGTCCCGGGCACAGCTTGGCCCTGCACAGCCGCAGCCATGGTGCAGAAGCCGCTCTCGCCTTCTCTCGTATGTTTAACCCCGTGTTCGCCCTCCCCAGTGCGGGGGAGATGAGGTCCCTGTGCTCCTGCCACCACCCCCACCCGCCCGCCGAGCAGCATGGGGCACTGTGCCTCTCTCCCGCTCCCGTGAGGCTCTGCAGCGGGCCCCTGCCAGCAGCTGAGGGGCGGCCCCCAGAGCCATCAGGTCCCACTCCCGGGAAGCCGGGAACGTGTGTGACCTCGTGTGCTAGCGTGGGTGGGTGTGGCTGCATTCAAGCTCTTGCCATGGGGAGGTGACCCTGGGTTAGCCATGAGGGCCCTAAAAGCCATCAGGAGTGTGCCTGTGAGAGGGCCGGAGGGGGACGAGTCACACAGAGTGCTGGGCCAGGCGAGGGGGCAGCAGGGACATGGCCGCAAGCCAAGGAAAGCCAGCAGCCACCAGCAGCCGGCGAGGCCAGGAAGGGGCTCTGCTTTGGAGCCTGCAGCAGGTGCACAGCTCTGTGCTCACACAGACGCAGGCGCCCACATGGAACACCAGCATTGCAGGTGGCAGCTTAACCGGACACGCAACACCGGCCACACCACGAATCTTCCCAGCCTTCCCAGCACACACATGTGCACACACACACACGCACACACACGACACCAGCCCTGGCTGCAGGAGGGAGCACCTGTCCCCCGCTTTGCTTCTCCACCCTGCCTGCTGTGAGGAGCCTGGGACGGGCAGGCATAAGATCAATGCTCGCTTGTCCTGGCTCACACACTCTGCGTCTTTTTTTTTTTCCCAATACATTGAATTCCTTGAATTACCATGACAGTTCCAAGGGCTTCAAGGCAAAAACCAGGGGAAGCCGATTTGCTCAGGATGCGAATGTCTGAGTCTGGGATGAGAATCAAACCCAGAAAGCCCTTTGAACCCTGTCAAGAACCAAAGGACCCCATGGGCATGCAATATGGGCGCTGGTTCAAGTCCACTGCTGATCCAGCTCTCTGCTATGGCCTGGGAAAGTAGCAGAAGGTGGCCTGAGTCCTTGGGCCCCTGCACCCACGTGAGAGGCCTGGCAGAGGCTCTCGGCTCCTGGCTGCAGACTGCCCCAGCCCTGGCTGTTACAGCCATCTGGGGAGTAAACCAGTGGACAGAAGCTCACTCTCTTTCAAATAATAAATAAATCTTAAAAAAAAAAAAAAGAATGCCAAGGGCAGTATTACCAGGGCCAGCCTCTACCCCGCTCTCCCCATCAGCGCTGCTTCCCATGACAGTGCAGCACGTGGGCCTTGTGGGCAGGGCTGGGTTCAGGCTGCAGCCCGGCCACCTCCTGTTGTAGGAGTGGGGGCA